TTACTATCAAATCACATCCAACAACAAATTAAAAATTTTATCCAACCGAGACACATCCTAGACTATCTTCAGAACAAACAAAGGACCAACAACAACCGAAAATAACAATAACCAAACCAAAACTATTAGCACAACTACAGAACAAACGAAACCAAAACGGGAACAGACACAAAACAAAAAAACAACTACTCAATAAAATCCAAAAACAAAAGGCAGGGGATAATATAATTAACTTATCAAATATAAATGTCTCGGATGCTACTAAAAGCATACTAAACAAGGGACTTAAATTTGTTCCCAAACCTAAACCCATTGGTTACCAATCTGTCTATACATTATACCTACAATACCGAAGAAACATGTACCTGCAATACCATTACAGACATTCGAATAACAACTATATAAAACATCCATTCAAAGCGAAAAGTGACTTCACACCACCACTACCGGACAATGCTAACCTTTTGGAATACATGTCTCGTGTTTTACTCGAACTCAAAACCTCTCACGAGCTAAACAAAGACAGTTACACCACTAGGCTAAATAACAACGTTTCTAATGCAGAAACACAGGCTGTAATGAACCTTCGCAACAGCGAACAAGTTATAGTGAAACCCGCCGACAAAGGGGGCGCTATAGTTATCTGGCCCAGAGAATCTTATATAGCGGAGGCGAATAAACAACTAAACGAAAAACGAAACTACAAACTTATCGAAACGGATCCATTCCCACAACTGGTTACTAAATTGAACAAGATCGTGAAAACATTTTTCACAGATCAACTTATTGACCACACAACATTTAAATTCCTATTAATTGATAAACCAATTAGGAAGCCTACATTATACCTGCTTCCCAAAGTACACAAACCTGACGTACCAGGAAGGCCAATTATCTCAGGATGTGAGGGCCCCACCGTCAGATTATCAGAGTATGTAGATGTTTATCTAAAACCACTCATAAAATACATACCATCCTATATAAAGGACTCTACAGACTTTCTTAAACGCATTTTTAAACTAAACGATACACTACCTAATGAATTTATACTAATCACAATTGACGTTAAAAGTCTATATACGAATATTCCCAACCGTGCGGGAATTGACGCTTCCACCAAACACCTTAACAACCACGACACTACAGGGGTCAACATACAAATGATACGAAGCATGCTTGAACTAATACTTGAAAACAACTACTTTGAAATCAACGACAAATACTACCTACAAACACACGGGACTGCTATGGGAACAACCGTGGCGGTTTCATATGCCAATATATTTATGGCTGCACTAGAGGAAAAAATCCTCCAGAATGCACCAGAAGGTCTGACTCCTCTAGAGTGGATCAGATTTCTGGACGACATTTTTGCTATATGGTGCCACGGTGAAGCATCCTTAATTAGATTTCTTGAATATATGAACACACTACACAAGACTATCAAATTCGAATTTGAATACTCTACTAAGACTGTACATTTTCTAGACACAAGGATTTATATCAACGAACAAAACAAACTAGAATCAGACGTATACATCAAACCAACAGACAAGACAATGTTACTACATAACACCTCTTTTCACCCCAACACTTGTAAACAAGGCGTAATCTACAGCCAGGCGCTACGCTACAGACGAATCATCACAGATGACACAATACTACGAAACCAACTAGAAAAACGTAAAATTATTCTGATGACTAGAGGATACAAAACTGGCACAATTGACAATGCCTTTGGGAAAGCAACACAACACACACAAAAACAATTACTTTACAACGACAAACCAAACAAAACAGAAACTCGACCAACGCTTAGCATTCCTTTCAATACTAACACAACACATATTGGCCAAATCCTACAAAAACACTGGCACCTAATAGAAAGCGACCCAACGTTAAAAATACTATGGCCAAATATACCTATGGTCGCATACAAACGTAATAAAAACATTAAAGAAATGCTAGTAAGCAGCAAACTAAAAAAGACTGGAAACAAATCCAGCGATTAATTATGTACAGTGACACTATACAGAAACATAACGCAAACAACAAATCACTGCTGTCATGCTTATTTGAAAACATACACCAAAGACCAAGATAGAGAATGATGATGTCTGAAGACAATACCAAAACAAAAAAGGCATGATGATGGGGGGACAAAAGAAAAACAAGAGATATAAGGAAGGCTCTTGCAATCTAGTTGGATTTTTTTTTTCCCTGCAATCAACAACAAAAAACTTATCGTGCCATCAGATAACTAAAATTCGACGATAAACTTTTTCATAAATTTCAGCCTACTGCTACTCTTTTTTAAGCCTTTCTCACTCTTTAGAGATACATATTATTTATAAATCAAATAGTTACAAACTATAGGGACAATTGCATCCCATCTAGATCACATCACATCACATCACCGAGGTTTAAACAAAGGAATATGAAATCCTAATTAATTAAATTGATATACACAGTCGGTGTATATACCACAATATGTATATGGATCCTACCATGCACGCGCGACAATTTGTATATAATAATATAAATACTCATCATGATGTACATAATACTATTAATATTTTTACGAGTGTTTATGTGTTTTTTTATGTTTTATATGCATTTTTTCTAAATGCATATGCCTGGTCCAATTCAATTCCCTCCTTCACCAACTAGCTCTGGGGGCAGACAAGCAATTCTCACACTTATGTCTATACAAAATTGGTTTTTTTTACACATTCCCTGGTTATCAGTTTAGCCCACGGCACATCACACTCTAATTATACATACAAACTGATACCTAATTAACACCTGACAAACATGCACGCTACCAAACCACATGACGTCAACTATTCAAGAACAACTTACTAAAACTGGACTTCAAGGGCACAACACCCATTCTTGAATACGCACATTTGGCGAACAACCAAAAAATAAAAGGATAACTCGAGGGAATTGAAAATAGTCAACCCCCAAAAGTAAAATGGCTGGACGATGCGGACTGCCACCAAACAAAGCATTCAGTAAGTCTTTTACGTTAAGATAGTTAAACTAAGATTTTTCTGGGTTCCAATGCTTTTCATCATTTATTTCATATTTATTTCATCAATGTTTCATTGTTTTCCATCATTTTACCACTCACCATTTCTCCATCACTCATTATGAACAACACCAATCTCACTACCATTTTTCACGCCACTAACCAACAAAACATCGACTCCCATCCCTAAAAGCCCCTCCTGATGAAGGTCAAGAGACCGAAACGCGTCGAGGGCCAAACAAATGAAAAAGTACAATTAACACAACTATATATACTGTATCTTCCATATGATATACCATCCGCTAACATACTTAACAAGCATGGTCAACCCGAGACTCTGTGAAGTTTGCTATAGCACCAATACACAATCACATCATTATTCAATGTTTCATTAAAAATCACAACATCTCTCCAATACCATCCACTTATCTCCTTAATGTAATTTTGTGGAACCAATGGGATAGTTTGTCCAGGGCCGTTCCGCATGCCGTTCGACCCATGTTCGCCTTTCTCTACAGTCATTTTTAATGATATTGACCGAATATATCACCTATTCACACCACGTTGAAACGCGGAACTGGCTCGGACTGCTTCGAACTGCTTTGGGCAATCAGTCCCTATTATATATTATATATATTACTTAAAGGTATTAACCTATATGGTACATACTACGTAATGACTGCCGTACTGTGCAGTCATAAAAATGTTTGCCAGGCCCTGGGCGCCATTTTACAAAACATCTGGGATGATTAGTCTAAGACACCAATTTTAAATAAAGTTTCCCTTGTGGCATAATTAAATGTTCTGCCAGATTCTACAAACCGTATTTTTGTAGATTGTACAACAACTACTTATTCTACCTATCAATAGTTAGATACATGACATAAACCATAGGACTCATGACATGCATATCTCACGCCATGGTTTGCTTTCAAGACCCTGTGAGTATGTAGATAATCTAACTGCATCCATACTTCAATACTAAGGGATAAACCTACAATCGTCACATAGACTTAACCACATGTGACGGACAGATTATGGAATACACAGTTAACAACACGGATTAAGCTTACAATATCTCACTGCATGATCTACTTTCCAGACCCTGTGAAGATATATTTAAGAAAACCTTTTACTCAAATGAGATACAGGAAAATTACACAGCGCAAAATCACAAGTCATGTTACCAATTCCTAATTTACAACATCGCAGTATGGTCAAATCCGACCCTGTGATATCGATAAATTCATGTGCATCATCAAATTACACCTATCAATTACCAAGTAATAACTTTACATACAGCACATGCTAACTTCAATCACGATATTTCTACAATGGAATGACAAAAAGAGACAAAACAACGCGTGCACCTTTTATACAATGTTTCACGGCATGGTCTACTTTCAAGACCTCGTTGGAAATAACAGTAATCCATTAGATAAATAATGATTTTAAGTACACCACAGGTCCAAGACGCATGTAGAGGTCCTATTACCTATCTCAAAATTAAAATACATTTTCATAAACCAGTTTCTATGCGGATAATTAGCCTAGTTAACCATTAATAATTCATGAGTTATGCAAATTAATTTGCATAATCGATGACGTCTTTTCCGAAGGTTTTCCGATGATGATAAAACAACGAGGGCTTTCCGATAATTAATTTGCATAATCGATGACGTATTTTCCGAAGGTTCTCCGATGATGATAAAACAACGAGAGCTTTCCGATTAGTCGCCATTTTGTTTCAAGATGGCGGGAGGGTTAATAGTGGGGGTTTTAAGGGAAAATAACACTGAATTGAGTGTGAATACTTTTCGTTTCCATTTAAAATTGCTTTTGGGAAAGCGTGGGGGTTTATTTGAAAACATGATAGTTCGTATTGGAAGAGAGAACGTACTTGAAAATTTGTGTGTAATCTATCAGGAGTTAGAACCTTCGAATTTTGGTAGAATTATGGCTTACTTGACTCTAAAGTTTTTAAAGTTGGTGATTTTTGTGAGCCTGAAATTGTGCAAGAACAAGTGGAGATTGCTAGGTTCGAAATAAAACAATCTTGGATACAACCATAGAATAAAGATCCACATAGAAGGGCAACTTACGTCGGAAGCTTTGAAGTTTCTGTCCTCGCGCATGTCGCATCACGCATGTTGGCCGCCATGTTCCTAGCCAGTCAATGACATTTTCTGGCCAATAAACACGCTGTACTGGCTGGCTGCTCCGCCTTCTGGCCAGTAAACTGCATATTTTTGCATAAAAAAACGAGGACACGTTGCACCGCTGAGTTGCCCTTCTGTTACTGATCTTTATTCTGTGGATACAACGCTTAATTTCATGGTTACGCGACTAGTAACCTGGCGAAATTTGAATATCACTAATCCGGGTTGAATAGCAAAAGTCATTAACTGTTGTACATGGCTGAACACATTGTACTTTACGACATTGTCCAGGCCTGTCTATGCTGACATTGCAAGAAAACTGGCCTTAACGACAGGACATAAGTACCAGTGTACAAAATTAAGGATTTTGGAAAAGAAAACTCTTGATTGTTTTTTTTTTACGTTTAAAAAAGAGAAAAATAGTAAAAGTAGTGCGATCATTAAACTTTAAGAGAGGATGTCCACAAAAATCAAACATAAGGCGGCCACGACGGAAAATCGATTTTGCTCAAATTTTGCCCAGATATACCTTATTATATCGGAAAATGCACCATATATTTTTTTAGGTCAAATGCTTTTTTAACTTTGAGAAAATGCCGTTTTAACACGACCACCCTAAATCGCCATTTTGTGTGGGAAAATATGCACTGATTTTGCCGACAAATTTCACGACGACAACCGTTTCTAATCGATCTAAAACCCTAAAAATCTTGTTTTCGGTTATTCAAAGGACCGGGTACGTGACTTACAGGAAATCTGAATTACTTTTAGGAATAGAAATAATCGTAGTTTTGGAGCACACTATCTTACCTCATTTACGATACCCTCTTAACAAAACCGATTTTCACCATGGGATAAAGCTCCAAATCGATCATACTTCTACTAGTTGGCTCTTTAATAAACAAGCTTTCAATTGACGTAAATACTTCTTTGGGCAAATGAATACGCGATAAACGACAGCGCGTTGAAATCGTCCGTTTTTGACGTCTTGCAAGTCAAACGGTGTTAATTTACATACCGTCGAAGTAAACAATTTAATCAAGTATTTTAAGTATTTTACCTTTTGATAAGAAGATATATTCTTGCATGAATGGAGACTTTTTGCCTTGCTAAGTTCAAAATTGGTCCAGAAATCCCGATATATTTGTGAAATATCATCATATACAGGTATTTTGAGATATAATATTGTTGTCAGTTGCATGATAACTTCAGATCACTGTTCAATATTGTCTACTTTTAATAGCGCTAACATACAAAGCGATGAGCTGTTTAGGGATTATATTTGTTACTAAATTTACCAAAATAATTAGAACTACAACTGCTGCTTTCACTAGAGGTTTTGTTCCATTTTGTCCATATTATTAAATTAATGTACCAGTTATGTATCGACTATAATGTTTACGAAGACGTAAGTTAATTATTAAGCAGGTGTTAGCGTGCGTGTACATGAAATGAACGTTTATAATGTTTATCAATATAAGGAGATTTTATTTTTAGTTTACCAGCCCTTATATTTGAATAGCCGAATTCATATAATTAGGGACGCGAAACTCGTCTTAGACGGAAACTCGTCTGTGAAAACCCGCCTGAATATGAATTTAGGGACGGATAAATTCGAATTTAAGACGAGTTTCCCGTCTAATACGAGTTTCCCGTCTCTAATATGAATTCGGCTAATTGTGTTAAAACTGCAAGGTCATTAAATCTCATTAAAATCCCACAGACCACAACGATTATACGTATTGATTGTTTCTTGACGATAGTAGAGGCGTACGCATACATGTTGCGTAAGAGGTTATTTCGCTGGCCTCAGAATGACAAAACGAAACAAAGCTTTACACTAACCCTATTTTATAACTTAAATCCCTACCATAACCCTTGCTCGTTATTAAATAACATACCGTAGTAAATAATTTAATCACCATTTCTAAGTCTTTTACTTTTTCGGGACAAAAAACTACTTGAAAAATACCAGGGCTTTAAAAATTATTTGAAGTAGATAGTTATGATAAGAAAGGGTGGCGCAAGGGCCGCCCTTGCAGGGGGGGGGGGCAAAGGGAGCAATTTTCTCCGCGACCCCAGCTCAAGTAGGGCCGGCAAATACAAATTTGCAAGGGGGTAAAAAGTTTGTCGACGGAGGGGTGGGAGGGGAACTATTGTGGTTCACCGGGGCCAAAGATATAATTGGCCCTGGGCCCCCATATTTCACTGAGCTGGCCTGGGCTGCGCCAGTAATTCTCCGACGGGGGAAGTCATCGGTACTCTCTTTCGTTCTTTGGGAATTGGCATTAAAACCACAAGAACTACCGACAAGTGACCAGGGCCGGATTAACGTCGCGCGAGGCTCGTGGCAGATTTTAGCGCGAGGCCCCCAACCCCCTCCCCCCCACTATCCGCCTTGTTAAGAAAACCTTTGAATTTAAAGACACACAAAATTGTTAAATAATTTTTTTCAATATTTCAATTTATTAGCATCAATTATAAACGAGACAATGGCCTGCCTGGCCCAGTTGTTGGGTCAACATGTATAAACAGGATCATAATATAACAGCTCAACGCAACTGGAGATTATATGCACACGAGTATTGCATATCTTCCCGGGGCCGTGCTGGGGCAAACTGCCAAGCCTAGGGGCCCTAAATTCGCGAGGCACCTAAAATGGGTGTGTCCCAATAGAAAATGGCCGTGTTCTCGTAAAAATGGGCGTAGAACAGTAAAGCGCAATGCCCCCATAAGCGCGAGGCCCGTGGCATTTGCTGCATCTGACACATGGTTAATCCGGCGTTAAACGAGCAACAAGCTTCCATTTTTTTTAAACGCGACGTGTGGGGAGACAATAATAATTTCTAGTGTCGCACTGGGGTAACATATCTCAATGCTGTATTTTTGGGTTACTAGTACTTGTGGAATATAATAAGGTCAATAAACAATAGTGTATCAAAAGAAAGTAATTTTACTGATTATTTTAACTGAGCATCAAAGTGAACACACATTAAAATAATTATTCTAAACTATTTGCTATAATTTGAGTTTGAGGTGGTAGAATATGTAATAAAATAACAAACCTGGTATGGATTAATGTTCATTTCACACGCACGCTATTAACAGCTGCTTAATAATTAACTTATGTATTCGTAAACATTTATACTCGATAGCATAGTCGATATGTAAAATGGTACATTATATGGATCAAACTGGAACAAAACAACAACTGAAGTTCTAATTTTGGGAAATTTAGTAGCAAATATAATCCCTAAACAGCTCATCGATTTGTATGTTAGCGCTATTAAAAGTAGACAATATTGAACAGTGATCTGAAGTTATTATGCAACTGACAACAATATTATATCTCAAAATACCTGTATATGATGATATTTTACAAATATATCAGGATTTTTGGACCAATTTTAAACTTAGCAAGGCAAAAAGTCTCCATTCAAGAATATATCTTCTTCTCAAAAGGTAAAATACTTAGAATACTTGATTAAATTGTTTACTTCGACGGTATGTAAATTAACAGCGTTTGCTTGCAAGACGTTAAAAACGGACGATTTCAGCGCGCTGTCGTTTATCGAATATTCATTTTCCCAAAGAAGTATTTACGTCAATTGAAAGCTTGTTTATTAAAGAGCCAACTAGTAGAAGCATGATGGATTTGGAGCTTTATCCCATGGTGAAAATCGGTTTTGTTAAGAGAGTATCGTAAATGAAGTAAGATAGTGTGCTCCAAAACTACGATTATTTCTATTCCTAAAAGTAACTCAGATTTCTTGTAAGTCACGTACCCGGTCCTTTGAATAACCGAAAACAAGATTTTTAAGGTTCTAGATCGATTAGAAACGGTTGTCGTCGTGAAATTTATCTGTAAAATCAGCACATATTTTCCCAGAAAAAATGGCGATTTAGGGTGGTCGTGTTAAAACGGCATTTTCTCAAAGTTAAAAAAGCATTTGGCCTAAAAAAATATATGGTGCATTTTCCGATATAATAAGGTATATCTGGGCAAAATTTGAGCAAAATCGATTTTTCAGTCGTGGCCGCGAAATATCTCATATGTTCGATTTTTACTGACATTCACTCTTAAATACTTAGAGCACCATCAGTGTGTTTTCGTTTGCGTCGGACTGTCATGGACCCAAACCTAAAACCTCGCGACGCGATGATGTCGTGCTTGGGGGTGGTGATAAATTTCAAATTTTCGCGCTCTTTTCAGTCGAGATGAAGCAAGCAAAGTGGGAAGAGGTTGTTTCTTCGTGGTAAATCGTTTGAATTGAGTACAGAGTGTGAGAATGGGGTTGGTTTACCAATTGAAAAGGCGGAATGGCAAATTACAGATTTGGAAAACATTTTGATTGAAAAGGGTTTGATACCGAAATTTATTCGTCGGGACGATGCCCTGTATGATATATTGATGCGTCAAATGCAATCACAATTGATTCTGAGTGTTGTTGTTCCTAAACGTGTGCAGGGCCCTACCTTTTCTTATTTGTCGAACTGTAAGCAGATGCTTGTGGGTGAGATATTTGCAGATATGACAAAAAGGAAGGAAAAATTCGAGAAGAAAACCGGTGTTAGCTTGGACAACTATTACAGATTGGCTGCGAGCGAAGTCGAGAATGAGAAGAAAAGAAAAAAAAAGTCTGAGGAGTTACATGAGGCGAGGAAACGTGCAAAAAAGGTTATATTTAATTTTAAAAATTTTTACATTTTTTATTTATTTATCTAAAATACGTCCTAGTTGTTGTTGTAGTTCTGGAAATTGTTTTATCTTCTTTACTGCTGGTTTTCCACATGTTGTCAAGTGTTCAGCTATTGCATCTTCGATCTTTGCGTGTTGACTTGAGAATGTTGTCTCGTCGTTGAGGTGAACGTATTCGTAGATTTTGGGTTCTGTGCGGGAATTTCTGTATTTTTGACTAGCAACTGTTCGAGTGTTTTGTCTCGATCTGGGTGGGCGAGATATTCGGCTACGGCATCTTCTAAGTTCGGTTTGATGCTCGTGAACTTTTTAGACTTGTTCAGATTAATGTATTCGAAGTCTGCGGGTTTCGTGTAGTACACGCGACCGGTCGACATAAATTCCTGCGTACCTATTTCCTCGATTCGTTTGAATTTTTCTTCGAACTCGACTTTTCGCGCATCTTCCGTTTTACGCCATATGTCAAGACGACAATTCTCACAGTATCGAGTGCGAAAATGTAGTTTACGATCGTGTGCATCCGTATGTTCGCAGTGTAGGCATCCGTTGTTGAGACATTCTTTTTTTGTTAGCGACAGTACGATATTTTTTTCGATCGGAGTCATTCTTCCTTCGTCGTCGCTCATGTTTTGTGTTTTTTCTAGGTTCGGGTTTGTTTGGCGATAAAGAGCCATGGTGCCCTACACTTATAAATGATGGGTATGTGGAAGCTGTCAAAGGTGAAATTGAAGATGAGCAAATCAATCGTTATGATGAAATTATAATCATATCTAATTACCCTACAAAGAACGATGAGCACATGGTATCCAACGGAAGTAAATAAATCAAAAACAAAACTTGTAGTCATTTACCAAATACGGTAATCGACTGTTTTTCTCGAAAAAAAAAACAAAAAACGAATTGATGTAATATAAGGATTTTTAAATAATTCTTGTTGGTTCCCACACCCCCACTAAAAAATAATATATATTATATAGCACACTACTGATGAGCACATGCTCATAACTGCTCATGAGCACATGCAAATCTGCTCATAACTGCTCATGAGCACATGCTCATCTGCTCATAACTGCTCATGAGCACGTGCTCATCTGCTCATTAGGCCCAATGGCCCGAAGTGCATTCTTCCTTCGTGGAAACCCAGACACCACTGCAGAAAAATTGATTAGTTTATGTACACAAATATATAATTTTTCGGATTCGCATGTTTTCGCCATTTTCATTTCTATCCGGCCAACCCATGAAAAAAATGACAAGAAAAGACAGGTATAATGGAAAAGCAATTTATTTTAATGACTCGAAGTTACATGCTGTGTTTATACTGGTCTTCTTTTACATATAATACTGTTCAAGTACAAGAATTCAATTCTATATTCGATCTGGCAGTCGAGTCTAATCATCATTGCATGTCATCAGAATCGTAACCGTTTAAAAGCCTTCTTATAAGAAACATTTAACTCCGAACTACTACGCACAGATTGTTAGATTTTTAAAATCATGTCGGGTACAATTTTGTGGGAAGAGCAGATGCAAGATGCTCATAACTGCTCATGAGCACATGGTCATCTGCTCATAACTGCTCATGCATGAGCACATGCTCATCTGCTCATAAAACTGCAGTGCTGCTCAATAACAAGGCATTTCTACACAGTCAGTGCTAACGGAATGAGCTGCAAATTTTGCAGTAAGCAATTTAACCGTGGTTACAATTTACGAAGACACGAAAAGGAATACTGTCACCTACGTGCAAAAGAACGAAACATCTCTCAAACCGACTCGGATGGCCAGGAAAAGGATTTCCAAGACGACGTCTCAACAGCTTCAACTGATGTGTCTGAAATTTTGAGGAGGACTGATAATGAGTCAGAAACTGAAGAGGAAATGGACACTTGGATACCGTTGATAGAAGAAGCAAAACAAAAAAGAAATATGGCATTAGAGGAAATGAAAGAAAGCCTTATAAACACTGGTCTAGATGAGCAATCCGCAAAGGACAAAGCTTTCTCTAATATGCTGCCTAAACTCCAGAAAGAACTGGAAAATATTTATATGGAGCGTCTCGTGTGGACGAGACAACTAAAGAATGATCCAGTACATAAGAAGATAATGCACACAAAAGATGCGAGTGTGGAAAACGATGATTTTGATCCAGAAGAAGCGTTAGAAGCAGCTGTTGATAAGAGAAAGTTTCTTATAAGAAGGCTTTTAAAGCGGTACGATTTTGATGAAGAGAATGATGATGACATGCAATGATGATTAGACTCGACTGATAGGTCGAATATAGAAATGAATTCTTGTACTTGAACAGTATTATATGTAAAAGAAGACCAGTATAAATACAGCATGTAACTTCGAGTCATTAAAATAAATTGCTTTTAATTTAACCTGTCTTTTCTTGTCATTTTTTACATGGATTGGCCGGATAGAAATGAAAATGGCGAAAACATGCGAATACGAAAAATTATACATTTGTGTACATAAACTAATCAATTTTTCTGCAGTGGTGTCTGGGTTTCCACGAAGGAAGAATGCACTTCGGGCCATTGGGTCTAATGAGCAGATGAGCACGTGCTCATGAGCAGCTATGAGCAGATGAGCATGTGCTCATGAGCAGTTATGAGCAGATGAGCATGTGCTCATGAGCAGTTATGAGCATGTGCTCATCAGTAGTGTGCTATATAATATATATTATTTTTTAGTGGGGGTGTGGGAACCAACAAGAATTATTTAAAAATCCTTATATTACATCAATTCGTTTTTTGTTTTTTTTCCGAGAAAAACAGTCGATTACCATATTTGGTAAATGACTACAAGTTTTGTTTTTGATTTATTTACTTCCGTTGGATACCATGTGCTCATCGTTCTTTGTAGGGTAATTAGATATGATTATAATTTCATCACAACGATTGATTTGCTCATCTTCAATTTCACCTTTGACAGCTTCCACATACCCATCATTTATAAGTGTAGGGCACCATGGCTCTTTATCGCCAAACAAACCCGAACCTAGAAAATATACAAAACATGAGCGACGACGAAGAAAGAATGACTCCGATCGAAAAAAATATCGTACTGTCGCTAACAAAAAAAGAATGTCTCAACAACGGATGCCTACACTGCGAACATACGGATGCACACGATCGTAAACTACATTTTCGCACTCGATACTGTGAGAATTGTCGTCTTGACATATGGCGTAAAACGGAAGATGCGCGAAAAGTCGAGTTCGAAGAAAAATTCAAACGAATCGAGGAATTGGGTACGCAGGAATTTATGTCGACCGGTCGCGTGTACTACACGAAACCCGCAGACTTCGAATACATTCATCTGAACAATTCTAAAAAGTTCACGAGCATCAAACCGAACTTAGAAGATGCCGTAGCCGAATATCTCGCCCACCCAGATCGAGACAAAACACTCGAACAGTTGCTAGTCAAAAATACAGAAATTCCCGCACAGAACCCAAAATCTACGAATACGTTCACCTCAACGACGAGACAACATTCTCAAGTCAACACGCAAAGATCGAAGATGCAACAGCTGAACACTTGACAACATGTGGAAAACCAGCAGTAAAGAAGATAAAACAATTTCCAGAACTACAACAACAACTAGGACGTATTTTAAATAAATAAATAAAAAATGTAAAAATTTTTAAAATTAAATATAACCTTTTTTTGCACGTTTTCTCGCCTCATGTAACTCCTCAGACATTTTTTCTTTTCTTCTCATTCTCGACTTCGCTCGCAGCCAATCTGTAATAGTTGTCCAAGCTAACATCGGTTTTCTTCTCGAATTTTTCCTTCCTTTTTGTCATATCTGCAAATATCTCACCCACAAGCATCTGCTTACAGTTCGACAAATAAGCAAAGGTAGGGCCCTGCAATCGTTTAGGAACAACAACACTCAGAATCAATTGTGATTGCATTTGACGCATCAATATATCATACAGGGCATCGTCCCCACGAATAAATTTCGGTATCAAACCCTTTTCAATCAAAATGTTTTCCAAATCTGTAATTTGCCATTCCGCCTTTTCAATTGCAAAACCAACCCCATTCTCACACTCTGTACTCAATTCAAACGATTTACCACTCATCCACGAAGAAACAACCTCTTCCCACTTTGTTTGCTCCATCTCGACGGAAAAGAGCGCGAAAATTTGAAATTTATCACCACCCCCAAGCATGACATCATCGCGTCGCGAGGTTTTAGGTTTGGGTCCATGACAGTCCGACGCAAACGAAAACACACTGATGGTGCTCTAAGTATTTAAAGTTTAATGACCGCACTAATTTTACTATTTTTCTCTTTTTTAAACGTAAAAAAATCCCATCAAGAATTTCGTTTCCAAAATCCTTAATTTTGTACACTGGTACTTATGTCCTGTCGTTAAGGCCAGTTTTCTTGCAATGTCAGCATAGACAGGCCTGGGCAATGTCGTAAAGTACAATGTGTTCAGCCATTTACAACAGTTAATGACTTTTGCTATTCAACCCGAATTAGTGATATTCAAATTTTGCCAGGTTACTAGTCGCGTAACCATGCAATTAAGCGTTGTATCCAAGATTGTTTTATTTCGAACCTAGCAATCTCCACTTGTTCTTGCACAATTTCAGGCTCACAAAAATCACTAACTTTAATAACTTTAGAGTCAAGTAAGCCATAATTCTACCAAAATTCGAAGGTTCTAACTCCTGATAGATTACACACAAATTTTCAAGTGCGTTCTCTCTTCCAATACGAACTATCATGCTTTCAAATAAACCCCCATGCTTTTCCAAAAGCAATTCTAAATGGAAACGAAAAGTATTCACACTCAATTCAGTGTTATTTTCCTTTAAAACCCCCACTATTAACCCACCCGCCATCTTGAAACAAAATGGCGACTAATCGAAAAGCCCTTGTTGTTTTATCATCATCGGAGAACCTTCGGAAAATACGTCATCAATTATGCAAATTAATTATCGGAAAGCCCTCGTTGTTTTATCATCATCGGAGAACCTTCGGAAAATACGTCATCGATTATGCAAATTAATTTGAGTAAGTCAGATATTATTAAGGGTTAACTAGGCTAATTATGCGCATAGAATGGGGTCCATTAAGCCCGAGATATAGCTACTCACATGATATACTAGGGCATGCATGTAAAGAGTAACTGCTGCTCTGCTATATCCTTTGTGAATATATACAGTTTTTAAGGATGTGAAAAGTTCAATTCATTCTTTTGCTTTTACCCCCACATGTACCAGGCGCGGATCCAGTGGTTTTGTTGACTGATGCACTAAACCTCGCATTTGTAGGGGGGTCCGGGGGAATCCTCCCCCGGGAAATTTTGAAATCTAGGACCTCGGAAATGCGATTTCCTGCGTTCTGAGGGAACTTTTCTTCGAAGTTCACACATCAAAATCGAAACGTAATTTGCTGGATTTTCGGGGAAAAAAACGTAAAAAATCGGTTTATAGAGTGAGAACAACATAATCAGGTGAGTTTTAAATAAATTGAAAACATTTTTACGCGGAGTTTTATCAGATCGAAACTTGACTAGCCTTATTTATTTGATCCTATTTGAGTGAGGATTAAAGAGTAGCAAAGTTGTAGCTATAATTTACAATTTTACATACAAGTGTACACTACTTACATGTACACAACATACTGATAGAATAATTGAAAGCAAAACCACAGACATTTTTTCTGAGTAAAATATGGTGCAAATGACATGAAAAGCTGATCAGGGTTGTGTTTCTTATGCAAAATAGATAAGAATACTTCAAGCAAACTATTATATTCATTGCCAATGATATCACTTCCTGTAACTTATCACTTCCTGTTACCAGTTAACATCAATCAATATAACAATGTTCCAGGTCAAATACCTTCCATCAGCACCACCATGACATAAATTCCAGTTAAATTATTTTAATAATCCAGGATTAATTCCAGGGCAACTTTGAGTTACTGTATATGAAGGCCCTCTCTGGAGCTAGTCACTCTAATATTTATGGATGCATTTATATCCAACATTTTGACAAATGCAGTGTGAAGTTTTAAATACTGTAAGATTATCAAAGTATTCAAGGGTGTTAGGTAATAGTTTTCATTGTTGTTGAGCAGTTAATAATAAAAATAAACAATTATTGAAACTATTTGCAGAAAATAGATTATTCTACTGTATTTGAAGTCTGGATATCTACAATACATTGACCAATATATCTCCACAGATTTTGCATTCAATCCCAAATTACAGTACATTCAGGAGTGTCTAGGACTGCTGTATGTATCCAAAACTGCTGTTTCAAGTTATTAAGGATAGACAGGGAGAAGTGCAGTTATGGACTTGGTAGGTATCTGATTGAATGAGCAGGATTGACAAGCTTCAGTAACAGTGGCAGTGCAGTATATTGTGATCAACTCAATTAGTACATTGACTTATCAATGAAAGTGAGATAATTTATCAATTTCTACATTAATGTATTCTATGCAATGACCCTTTGTTGTATTGAAAATAAATGATAGAATGATCAGAACAGTAATTTGGTCCCATAACTGCTAATTAGACTGGTACATTTAAAATGAACACCTTGTGCTGAGCCATGGTCATGAGAATCGTATAATTTAAAGGCATATGAACAATGTCAGGAAAAGCATCACAAATTTAAGGGGCCGAACTTGAGAGAGCCCAGCTAAATTTATTCCCTTCCTAAACATGTGAATCCCCTTTATTTTCAGCATCACAATAATTTGCCGGTCACCCCCTATGCCTCTCCCCTCACCTTGGCAGGGGCAACCCTGATACATGTAATGACATTTAGTGTGATTGATGGCTTCTGGTAGACTGGTACTAGGTGATCATTCTGGAACAATAGAGATAATATATAACTGAACTAATCTCACTATCACCAAACATTGCCCTTTAAAATATTGTTTTGAAGCTTCAAGAGCTTCCCAATTCCAAAATGATGCACATACAGGGATGGATTTGGATATGGGAGGGATCTAATTAGGTGCCGGTATTGATGTCGGGTGTGAGCATCAACCAAGGCATGGTGTGTAATCATACAGATAGCAGTGTTTTGGGGAAACAGCACCTAACAAGTAACCGGCCAAGTAACCGGCAGGTGCCAGGAATATAGCTGCTAGTAAGGGTTGCAGGATCCTAGACAGAGTCCTTAGACTGTAAGAATCTCAGGGAGAACTGCAAAATATTATCAAGCATCTAGATTCAATTTGCATTTTCAAATAAATTAAGACACAACCTCCCCCCCTCCCCCCTACACACACACTATATAATGGCTGAATGGCATATTGAGTGTTTATATGTGAACAGCCAAAACAGGATCATCCATGTTGACATATTTAAAACAGTTCAAATATAATAAATTTTGTAAAATTGTGATATTTATACTACGACAAATATACCTATACGGGCTATACCTACAGTATTTATTATAAATATCAACACACAGTCACACACAGACTCACTCGTTTAAATCTACATCTATAAACACAGTACATAGATCCCAAACATTCCCTTGTGAAATTACTGAAATAGCTGACAAACCTTTTAATTTCGACGGCTTTGAGGCTCAGTGAGTTTGAGTGAACCACCAAAGATCGTAAAATATTTCCATACAATGCGACATACAATGTTCCATTAATACTCCCGCCATTATATAATAATTCGACCATAAAATTTATCACTGACTGTTCTGATTGCGGGCGAAATGCATCAGTCAAAAGCGCATTATTTTGATCGCGGGCTAAACGCATCAGTCAGCATCCATTTCCCAACGTTACGTAGGCATGAAAACAATGGTTTTCGTGACGTGTCGTTGGGAAAACTCGGCCAAAAGACTCGGGACCGCTGCGCCACTGATGCACTTTTCTCCCCAACGTGACGTAGTGATGCACTGCCGGCCCCAACGTGACGTAGTGATGCATACACTGAGCTGTAATAATAGTGGATGCATCAAACTAAACACACATATGTGGCGAAATAAAGTCGCGACACAAAATCGTACAACTTGATAAGTGCGAAATTTGATATGCGTTTACGTTTTTCATAATATTTTGCGAAATATAGCTTTGTTTACGTTCATTCCTGTGAAAATATATTGTTTTAAAGGACTTTGGATCAAAGACAACCAATATTTAAATATATTTTAATAAAATGTTGACAATTCTCGTTCGTGTGAAAATTTTGACTGATGCATTCGCATCAGTTGCATCAGTCTGGATCCGCGCCTGACATGTACCAATTCATTCCTTTGCTTTTAACCCCACATGTACCAGGCATCAGACAATCGGCCAATTTATCTGGAAGTTCAGCTAATAAGTTCTTTTTGTCTGCGCCAAGTAGGCTTGTAAAGTCATACTGCCCAGATGCCTTCCCGTCCTCAGTTTTCTTTTCCCATATATCAAAACTTACCCCGCATAACCTAATTGTTGCCTGAAGATTGAGGAGATGTGTGTTATTACTTTCACATTTTTTTTATTAAAATTTTCTTCATATCCCAGCAAATAGCTTCCTGAATAATATTGTTTAATAAGACATCCATTACTCTTAGTAATAAATGTAATTCATTTAGCACAACATGATCCAAGTCAATTTTAATAAGTGGCTCATTGTCGCAAGAATACTTGTCCTTTGAACCATTCTTTTTTGCCATGTCAATAACTTGTTGTAGCGTGCGTTTGAGGGGGCCAGAGCTATAATACTATAAGTCTTTGTCCATAACCCATCCGAATTCTTTGTGGATTTTGCAAAATTTGATGTTGCTGATTTCATGCCCAGCATGAGGAGTAGGAATTTGTAGTCTCCCTCAAGAAAGAACTCAAGATTTAATTTTGAGTTATTGATTGTGATTGCCCTAACTTGGATTAGGTTGTTGATCTGCTGAAAAATCAATCCAAATGAGTCTTTCAGTGTTTTGTAGCTTTCTGACCCCTTAACAATAGCAAATGTGTGGTTTTCACTGGCAGACATCACATCATCTTGGCTTTGAAATAGAGAGAATGAAAGCAAAATAAAACTTGAATTTCTTGTCATTCTTGCCCCATCACCAGAGAGTTTTATTTGAATTTTCCCTTTACTCCAATCCACTTCATCATGTAGTTTGACAAATTCTTCAACATGAGCTTTCAGCATATCGGTGAATGATATCTGGGCACCATCAGCATTACCCGGGGTTGTTTGTTTAACAAGATATGACTTGGGAAGACCATCAATGATCATTGTGAGTTCATGATAAAATGAATCTCCAATGCAAAATTTATCAAGCAGGAACAACACTTGTTCTATTGTTTTTTGGTCTTGGCTTGATAAGCTGTCAAAGCCCTTCCTGTTATCAGTTGGATTAGTGTCATCAATACTAAGGCAATGGACTATACCTGTCTGCTGTTCCACAGCTTTCAGCTCAGTTAACTCTAGACCAAACGATTCCATAAACCAGAGTGCAATTTTTGCTCTTGACAGAAAAGTTTTTAGAGTTCTTGATTTTTTGGCAACATGGGCTATATTTTTGGCCGATTTACAAAATTGTGGTTTTCTTCAAGACGGTCGATATAAGATAGTAGTTCCTTGTTCTCATCATGCAGATTCTTAATCTCCTCATCTTTCTCTTTCAAAGCCGAAACCATCTCCAAATAAAGCTTCTCCTTTTCTTCCTGAAGATTCTTGTAACTTTTTTCCACTTTTCTAGATCATCACAAATATTCTCATTTTCTCTTTGCAACTCCTTCACAGAAATGACCATCTCTTCAAATATTTGGAATCTTCTTACTTTGGAATCAAGTTCCTTTCTCTTGCGTCCCCCCTTTACCATTTCTGCAAACTTTTCCAAAGACGTGTTGACTTCATTTCTAATAATTCTGTCTTTTGTTATTCCAAAGACATCCCCAGGTATTGAAAGTTCAAACAGGTCGACATAATCTAGACAACATTGACTTGGGCAAGGATTGTCATTCTCAGCTGTAGCTAAATTCTGCTTTTCCTTCTGGTTTACAATGTATTCCTGCCATAATTTTAATAGTGGGTATGGAATCCCCACTGCAAAAAGGGCTTTCATTGCATTATTTTTTGCTGCATATGCTAACGAGGGTTCCTCGATACATAATTTCCATTTAAAAATGGAATGATGTGGAGGTATATCCGACATTTTGAGAACGTTGATCCAGGGATAGATGATCATATAAGTGAAAAACAGTAAGAATGTATTTATTAAAACTATAACGAAGATAATACAACTTTCCAAACTTTAGAAGACCAATACAAATTTGAATATATTTGCATTTCCCGCAATTTCTTCCCTCGCAGTTGCTAGTCAGCGGTTGCCCCTTAAAATGATTATAAAATGGCGAAGCAATGAGGCATTTTCTGCGTTGTATTTGGCAACATTTTGAGGTTTTTCTACACTAAACCGCTCGCAATGGCTGAAATTCCAGGTTTTACTTTGCCTTAAAACAGACAATTTTAAAGTGTTGGGGCCGCTTAGCTAAAAACTCTGGTGTTTTAAAACGTATACGCAATGGCAGATCGAACATCGTTCAAGACATGTAGACGTGTGGAAGTTGTCGGCAAACGTTTTCGACAGCGCTATAATGGACTAAATGTCAGCGAGTAGGGAGGATTTGGTGAATTTAATAGAAGGTTATATTGGGTGGAAATGTTTTGAATCGAGGTTACTCGGGCCGGCTAATGGCAAATCGTGAGACGTCAAAATCCCCGAGAGCTATATTTTCAGGTAGGTTATATTATTTTTAGACGTGTGGAACATGCAAATCATTCTATATCCTTGTGCGCATCGATTTTATATTGTCTGTAATAGAATACCGTATAATATCCGCCATCTTGGTTTCGTAAAATAAGTTAGTTGTGCGCATACGAAATCGAATTAACCGCCATTTTGTCCGTGATTTCTGGCCATGATCGAGGATGACGAGTTTAAATGAAAAAGTACCGAGCAATTGTTCAGCGGCAGCAAAAGGAACACAACGTTCCCAATTCAGCAGCAAATCGATCGATTACATTCAAAGAAGAAGTGGAGCTCCAGTGCCTTTTTTAAGGGGCAAATCAGGAAAAACGTAGAACGAAAAATATGAGCCGTCGAGGTTTGGCTAACGCGCGAGTCGGAAGAGAGATTTTGTAAAACTTTAATTTATTATCTTCAGCTATATATTTCTTTAAACAATAACTTCAACCCCTTGTATAGCTATAATCGTACACCTATAAACACTGTTTTTTTGAGGGTGGCAAACCTCACGCCAAAGGCGTGAGACCGTCTAGGAGAGTCCGGGAGCAAGCACCCCCGGGAAAATTTTGAAATCTAGGGTCCCTGAATTGCGATTTCAAGCATTTTGAAGGTGAAATCTAGCAGAATTTCGAAGATTATAAAGTACATCGAAGACATGAATTTTTCCAGACATTTCTACTCGGAATTAAATAAATTGGAAAAGTCACCTTGAAAAATAGGAGGAGGGTGTCGCCTTCTTTCCTCTCTGTAATGCTGCGGGGAGGGGAGGGAGAAAATCTCAATGTGATTTTGATCAGAAATGTTGCATTAAAATCATTTTAGGTTCTTTGAGACACCATTTCCCCATTCTCAAAATTGAGGTATTTTTTCATACGATACAGGATAAGTCTGAGAAGAAAGATTCATGCTATGATGATGCATACATAGCAGTTAAAAATTTAAACTAAATCTATTCTTCTTGGAACCATATCTACAACTGCTTTAACGAGATTTTACAAATCAAGTTCCTCCAGTATATCGTCTTTTTCCTCAGTCGAGACGTACTTAATCAGTTTCAGCTTCGAGCATGTATCGTGTACCCTCCTCCCTCCCCCCCTTATTTCTCTACGGATATAGCCTTTCTGAGAGAATGGTTTTTGTGGCGATTGGGGGGGGGGGCTCTTTATATAACTTGATATTTTTAAGAATAAAACCTCCCAAAACAAAACACAACGCCTCTGCGGAGGAGAGTGCTAGGAAATAGTCGAAAAGCTGGGAAAGTCTAGCATTTTATCGGATTGTTTGCATGAAATCAATCGCTATTATGAAATATTCGGTGAAGAATAATATGAATTACACACAAGATGGCTGTGGAGGAGGCTATGGAAGGGGATAATCGCATTATCAAGTAAATCAACTGCCATTCTGACAGCAAGCATGAGCAATTCTGCTTCGCACTTCGGGGGCAGAAATGGCTTTACTGGAGGGGGGGGTGGAGGGGGGAGAGAAATTATTTCCCTGGGGGGGGGGAATTGCCCCCCCCCCAGATATATAGCTAAAAAAGGCACTGCGGAGCTCTGTTTCATTTGCAAAACCACAACTACATGCACATTGGCGAGGCCACGCAGTTCATCAAAAACAAAGGATAATTGAATGTACTATTACATAAACGAAATCGAGTATGCAATAAAGGAGCCATGCAATTTCCAGTGGTAAATAAAGTATTAATTTTTGCTTTTTATGCCACTTCATATAGCTGTTTTGGAAACAAGCTGATGAGCGAGAACTACGAACGTCAAGTGGCAAAGAGTTCCAAACGTCGCCGACGGATTTAAACAGATTGATCCATTTGTCATAAATACAATCGATTGTTTCATTTTGACCATTGAAGGCCGAGTACCAATTGACAACGTTTAAAGCCGCATTAGGGCCAGCCGCATCAACGTTGTTATAATTACGAACTGAGCGTTTATATGCTTTTGTTTTAAGTGTTAAGAATAAGTAGATTTCCAAAACTATATTATGATCGCAATTTGCTGGTGGTCTTTATGTACCTGAAAAAATAACCCCCCCGGAAAAGTCAGTAACAATTAGATCTAGTATTGTTTCACACCATGCAATGAAATACGAGCTAGCTCCTCAATTATATAGTTGAGAGAGATTGTTGCACTCAAGAAAGTTGTAAAGAATAACTCCAACATTAGTATTTGATGTCGACGTTTCTTTGAAATTACAATGAGCATTAAAATCACCTAAAATAAACACGGCTTAGAATTGTGAAGAAGGAAATATTAAACCTAAACTGTCCTGAAAAGTGAAGACACCCAAAAAATTCCGCTAACTCCTCAGCAGATCGTTAGGAGGTTTATAACAAACGCCACAGAGAAATTTATGGCGATTAACGCGGTGATTTCCGTCCACAAACATTCCGTAAAAGTAGATTCAAAATCAAAACACCTAATGGCTTATACCTAGATAATTTGCGACGTATAGTCACCACGAGAAGTGATACGATCCTTACTCAGTGAGGGTATTACAGCCTGGAATTAAGATCGAGCGCGAGTCATTAAGACAAATTTATGACAAAGAGCAATAGCAGAGATTTCACTAAAATTGTCATTAATATTTAAACTTATTGCATTACGATGAGCAACAGACATGAAATATTCACTAGGATTGAGCTTCGGATGAACTGTTTGAGACAAAAGAGTAAGAATAGAAAAATTAATGACTAGTATAAATAAAACACGTCCATTTAACAGCAAATTTAAAAGGAAAACACTGAAATTAATGACCACTTGTTATAAAATGAACAGATTGCCGCTCGATAAGTTTCTAAACTAACCCCCATTTAGAATAACAAATTAAAAGGTTCTTTACTGAATCATCTGAAATAATTACCTGTGCCAGTTGCCTTTTTAACAAACGTTTGAGCTTCTTCAATCGACTCAATTATTTTTTTTGCATATCCAAGATCGAACAAGACAACTCCTAAATCGATTAGAGCCTCTTCTTGCAAGACATGATCATTGAACTCTGTTCCATAAATATCCAACGCCTTCTCGTACCATTCACTCGCCACTTTGTAATCACATTTTTTACTAAAATCTGATGCCAAAATTAAACATGATGTTCCTAATCCCTGGACTGCTGTCGTTCGTATATCTGTATTTTTCAGTTCATTACTAATATTTATCGCTTTTTGGAAATATTCAATTGCTTTCTCGTGTTGCTTCAATTGTTGAAATGTATCACCAAACCTGAGATAGGCGTTGGCTTCTTCTTCTCTATCACCAAGATCCAGAGAAATTTCTTTAGATTTGGGATAAGATTTGACAGCTGAATCAAACTTCCAGCTCTCGTAATATACGTTTCCCAAATTTGCATATTCTTCATTTGGGAGAACTTTGTCATTCCCTAAGATCAATAATTGTTCCGCAGAAGTGTTTCTTTCTTGACTGATAGTTCCGCTTTCGATATCTACTTCCTGGGCATTGTGAACAATTTCGTTTTGTATGTCATGCGGTTGAACGCTATCTGATGTATTGGATGCTTGAAGATCGTTGATGTTATCAGGAAGTCTATTTAAATGTAAAGGTTAAAGTACAGTTTAATACACAGTCAAATGCAGCTATAGCGTTTGAAAAGTTGATCTTCATTCACAGCAACCAATTTTAATATCCGAAGTCAGAAGTGTTTTCGTTCAATACTCTGGTTTTATGTAAATGAATCAAAACGCAGTTTCAACTTTCGCCAAAGAAAAATTTGCTTTGGTGGTACACGTGCGCCAAACGACGCATGCGAATGATGCGACCACGTGGGGAGACTCACAGATAATTAACAATTATTGGATGAGGTTTTTGTGATATGCGGAATTATCAAGGTCGAGGTAAGCGTTTATCAGCCGAGCCGAAGGCGAGGCTGATAACGCTTACCGAGATCTTGATAATTTTGCATATCGTAAAAACCGTTTTTTTATTATACATTTGAAGAATAATAAACATAGTATTTTAATACTATCAGCTCAGATATTTCCTGTTCTACGTTAAAACGAGTGTTATTTTGTTGTGGAAGTTTAATCCTAACCGCATTCTTAGTTAATCTGATCGCGTGAGATATGTAAACTCGGAAACCACCACAGAATTATAACAGTTTATTTTGTCAGATCGAACAAATCAAAGCTTGTCGAGTTTATACTGTCCCATGAATCATCGCGCTTTGAACAGAGACGACGACACTGGCCATTGCATACATTTACTTGAAAGTAGAGTATGCCTGATCTTAAATGTTTACAAAAAATCCTAATCCCTTGTTTGGAGCATTTGACGAGTGCTAGGACATAGCTGGACCAACTAGAGTGTGGAAATATTTGAAACTGTTCCGTGCAAGTGTTCGTAAAAATCATAAAAACTGTATAAATATAAATATAAACTTGAAATATGTTTAATAGAAAGCGTTCAAGGCTAGCTTGATATGTTTCCTGCATCATCATGGAAAAAATAACGGAAATGAATTATTCTACCCTTTCGTAATTTGCATATTGCGTTGAAACATGTATTCAACTCTAAACAGCGACGTCTGTTAATCGTCAACCTCGTCCACAGGGCCTTTGTTCTGAGAAGGCCCTGGCATCGGCTAGAATTTTACACCCCAAATTTTAGAGTGTAAATAAATTAAGACCACTTAACTTCAATTCGCGAAATTTATTTGTCCTTCAAGGTAAATTTTATACATTTTTAATCATCGAGAAATAAGCTGTCGGAAATCATCTATCATCCCGAAAAAGTTGCCGAGCTGGGGCGGGGGGGGGATTTTTTCCGGAATTTAAAAAAAGGGTAAAAAAATTTTTCTGGTCGAATTTAACTTTACTACGATGCAATTTTTTTTTCCAAACAAATTCCTGTTACAACATAGGTCAAACTCTTTTTTTCGAACAATAAATCGCTTAAATTTTGGTTTAGAAAATTTTTTCTCATACCATTATTTATATAAAAAAACGTTCGAAATTTCTTTTTTAAATTTTTAAATTTGGCCCCCCTCTTAAACTGGGGCCCCGGCGCAAATTCCCGCCCCCCCCCTCTGAAAGGCCCTGGTTAGGAGTCATTTGGCAGCCGCTTGATTAAAATTTAATTGCTTACAACATGACAACAAGATTACAAATCTTATGTAAGCTCATCCAATTTTTGTTGTAGAGACTTTGTTTGCTTATCTTTCGAACGAAAATCTTCAAAGGATTTCAAAAATATATATGTCACGTGCCATGCATGCATGCTGTCATATGTATTAATAATATATTTTAAAATTCTCAGTACAAAACTTTAGACGATTTTTAAATACTCAACCAATATACCTCAGTCAAACATTCTTAAACTCCTGGTTGTATAGTGATACAGATTGTATAAGGTAGGCTATGTAAAGGTTTGAGTAAGTTTTCACCAAAATTTCCGACGAAATTTGATCCATATTCAGTCTAAACAAAATATTTAATGTCTCGACTGACGTGCAAAGGCCATTCACTTATCTTCATTTAAAAATTATTTTATATTTTAACACGAGACACATTATATATATATATATATTTGAAATCCTTAGAAGATTTTCTTTCGAAAGTTAAGTGAACAAAGTCTCCACAACAGAATTGGATGAGTTTATATAAGATTTGTAATCTTATTGTTATGTTTTAAACAATTAAATTCTAGTCAAGCGGCTGCCAAATCTAACTTCTAAATTTCTGACCGTATAAACTTGATTCAAACATTTTCCAATAGCTTATTTCTCGAGGATTAAATGTATATAAAATTTACTTTGTCTTGGAGCGGTAAGTATAGGATATTTTGTAGAACAAATCAATTTCGCGCATTGAAATTAAGTGGTCTTGATTTATTTACACCCCAAAATTTGGGGTGTCAAATTCTAGCCGATGCCAGGGCCTTCTCAGCACAATGGCTATGGGGACGAGATTGGTTAATCGTAAAATATGAGAATGAAATAGGTCGTTTGAAACGCGTCTCAGGAACTGGCTGTAAAACAAAGTCTGTCGAACTATTTAGTGTAATGGTTGGGCTGATTTCAGTAAACCCCAATATGACTTTTACGACATCTATTTGTCTATTTAACTCTAAATAAGAATACTGCATTGGCGAAGTACTGCCACTGTCTAGGAACAAACGAAAGGGTAGAATATAGGCAGTAATTTACACCATGCAAGCATTACACTACGCGTTTTTACAAATTATGTTCTGCCACCAGCAACTGAGGGAAATTGCAAACGACTTCTCTGATTTTGCAATTTACAGTATTGCGTAATATAATTCACTGTTTACTGCGCAGTCATTCATATCTCCATGAGTTATTGCATCGATGATATTCAAATTAATAAGGAAGTAGAATAATCATCTCCGTGATTTCTGGCTATGGAAAATTCTCAAGACACGTTCTTGGAATAAAAACTTCTGAAAAGGATACAAATATGTAATGAAGGCAATGGCCAACCTATTTTTTTCAAGGTTCTCAAAATTGGTCTTCAGGTAAACGCACCGGAATGGCGGCATTATCACCTTTGCAGAAAATGTAAAATATTGTAACGTTAAATGTTAGATGGATAGGGCTAGATTTCTTAAATTACAATTATAACAATTTACTCAGCACTGTTCCCACACTCTTAACCTCTTGTGGAGGGAATTCCCTGTTAGGAGCTAGTCATCTAGCAGATTGTTCAGTGACGTTGATGATTATGTTGATAAATATTTGATATTTATACCTTAATTTGTAACTTGCATTTTGTTTTTCAAGTTTAATTTAATTTGATTTTAAAGGAATTCAAGATAGTTAATTAGAATTAATCTGCTAGATTTTAGCAGAACACGTGAACAGCTCCTACTAGAGTCTTTCCCTCACAAGAGGAAGAGCCTGGGATCGAGGTTGCAGCTTACCATGAGTTGTCATCATTCGTTTATATGCAATCCACGGTGGCAATTTTTCAATTACGCCCATCGCCTTATTTGCTCGAAGTGTATCTCCTAGTTTATTTGCAATATATAAGGCTTCCTGACAGTGCTGATTTGCTCTTTCGAGTTGCCTGTTCAACCTACAAGCATGTCCTAATCCAATTAATGTATCCATTTCTAGTTCTTTATCTTCTCCATCGCTATCGCTTGCAATTTCTAAAGCTTTCTTAAGGCATTCAATTGCTGTTTCAATCCCAGATTTGAACGAATCGGTTGTTGGTTGCTTTATATTTCCTCGTTTTCCGGCAATTTCCAAGCCTTTTATAAAGTTTTCAATTGCTCCTTGAAAATCATTGTTCAATATACGATCATTACCTGACCTAATGTACGCCTTTGCTTCTTGTTCGTCATCTCCAGTTGAATCTTGTTGCGCCATTCCGTGAGCCCCAACTCAAAAAATATTTTTATTGAACTCATGTGTTTGTATTATTCGGTTGGATTTGAATTTAACAAGAAGCTGTTCTATCCAAAAATATGACCACTTTTATTCATATCGTTCTGTTCTCCATGACGAAATTGTATAGCATAATTTGCTTCATTCTCCATTTTAATTAAAATGTTTCAAATTTTTTTTCACAAATACCAGTTTGCTTGCACGCACTTCCTGTGTTTCTAAAAAAATAACGCGCAAAAATATAAATGTCAATATCAATAAAGTAGAAAGTTTGATTTATATCACATAACATAACTCTTATATTTGTAACTTTGCCCAGAACGATGACACGGGAACATATTGTATAAAAATACGGATAGATCAATGTAAAACATTTCTGTGTTGACATACAGTTATATCAACACGAGAAGAACTTGAGAAAACGAGAAATTGTGTGGAAAGATGACGCCAGGAAACGTTTTCACAGTATTTAGATTTTTCCCAAGTTCAACGATTGTTGATATAACTGTACAGTATATCAATAGATAAAATGTTTTATATTGTTTTATAATAGAGCACAAAGAAATATAAAAAAGAAATATTAATTTTTCGCGTTGACATTTGAGTTATATCGTCACCGTTCTTAGCCAATCAGCGGTCAGAATTTACAAATGCTGCATTATAGTCAAACAGACGCGATTGGTTACAGGTTATAATGATGATCCACCAATCAAGAAGGTAAAGCAAAGTTGCAGTTTGAAATTTTACAAAAGAGTTCATTGTTATACGAGAGAGCGTTTTGAAGAATTTCCATAACAGAAACAGTCAGGTATATATGTTCAAATTGTATAGAAATACGCCTAATAAGCACTGTTGCGAGGAAAGCTATTAATTTAAACCAATCCTAAACTAAACATTAGCTTTGTCCCAAACATAAAATCATTGCCAGTGAATAAACTTGTGAAGCCAAGATTCATTCATACGGTGTGTAGAAAAAAAGATAATCCAACTTTGACATGTTATCGCGCTATAATTAATATGTCAATAGGTTTTCTTTTTTGTATTTACGCAGGGGCGGTGCTACAGGGGGTGGGGGGGATCACCCCCACTCGTCAGCAAATCGGCAAATTGTTATCTCAGTCGACAAAACTGGATTGGCTAAAGATAACCACTGAAGAAACCAAAATTGACTTCTTGAATAATTGAATTCAAACCGAATATTATGGAAGGGATCCCGAGAAACTGAATATTTCACAAGTACACTCCTTCTTTATCACTTTGAATTTGGCAAACAGAAAATACAGGATTATTTACGTGGCCGCACACACAATATGAACATCTATCCGACTATCGGTTCATCCGCGACAATACTTCTATAAATATGTAACCAAGTATCGCCGATTTTGCAGACCAAAAAGAGCGCAGATTCCAATAAACGAAATTGGTAAAATTTAAATATTCAATTTTAATTCCTTTTAACCTATTAATCACAATAGCTTATGGCCAGGGCCGGCGCTGAAAGGTGGGGGTGGAACACCCGCCCAGTCACCAAGTAGTCGGCAAAATATTGAATCCAAGTTGGCAAAACATGGATTTGGATAGGAAGAAAGGAAGTAAAATATTTTGATCGACACTGATTTAAAATTAAGAATGATAGCTAAAATATAGAGAAATATACTGTCCGGAAATTGTTTTATGTTATGCCGGCGCAACCCCCCCCCCCCCTCCCCCGCCCGTTTGCCAACAATTTTGGGAAAAGAAATATTAATTAGTGGTTGTAGTAACTCGGCAAAATTTGCCTTGATAACTCGGCAAAATTTACTTACCCCCCCATTCAAAGAGGTCTAGCGCCGCCCCTGTATTTACGCATGGAATGATTGCAATAAAAATGACCAAATGCGATCTCTTCCAATATTCAAACATTTTCCCAAATGTTTGTGGGCCATTTCGATGCAGAATGACAAGTAAAAGTTTATCAAAACTTGGTATTATATATGAGTTGCACCATACTTACACAAGGGACTTCAATTTGAATCCCAAACGAGAATAATTTCATTACTAAGACAACATATAGACTCCTCCGCAGGCTTCTCTTATCTATGGGTTTTAACATGCAAATGTTTTTGAAAAAAGAGAGAGGGGGGCCTACCATAAATCGAACAAAATAGGATCTTAGTGGCCGTGGCACGTTACCCCACCCCCTAAGTAGGCATTTGACCTTAATTATATATTCAGTTTCAAATCTTCGGGCAAGGAGCGAAGCTTGCGAATATCAAAAACGTTTAAAAAAATATATGTTTTTTATATAATACGTCGAAGTATTCATTAAGGTATACGAAAATTAGTTGGTCAATTGAAAGGATTATATCGCAATGTCTCTCGCGGTCTAAAAACGACGTGCAAATTTTGAATCGCTCGCTCAAAGCAGCCAAATGTTCACAAATTGCAATGTCTTCAAATTATATTTATGAATAATGTATGATGGATTTAGAGTTCCGCTCAATTGTTCAGGCGAGGAATTACAGTTTGAGGAAATTATCTGGCATAATTTCGAACGCAAAACGAAGAATGGAACGATACATGCATAAGGTACAATTCGTTTAATAAAGTGATTATTTTAAATTGTTTTGTTTTCTGGAATAATATCTTGACATGTCTAAGGGGTTGACATTTTGATTATATTTCACTAATTTTAGTCAAGTCATCAGGCATTTGGCAACATGCTCAGAGAATTGATACATAAAAGAAAAAGATCTTTCGCAACCATTTCAATAAGTGAGGAGAGATAGCAACTTGGAAATATCGACTACAGAAATTTGATTACTATGAACATCAAGACTTTGTTGGCATCTTTAATTTTAAATATAAACTAAGCCTGGTTTACATATGCCTGCGGTACGCCTGTGCTATCATTGTTTACAGCTGTTGATGCATACATTCTTTTGTGAATTAGTTGGTTGAATTTCTAACAACAATAACCCGCCGATATATGTGAACCAGGCTTCACTCCATCGAATAGTTAAGTTGGAATTGCAGTTTTTTTAATTCACTCACCCCCTTAATATCATGTAAATATGGTAAACCCATTAAGGTGCATTGTGACCCTATGCCCGTGGAAAGCAGTTGACATGTAATAAACTCTTTCTATATATGATGTATCTGCATTTTCTTTAATTATATGTATCTCCCTTGTTCATGTTCAAATAAAATTGCCCTTGACATTATTGAGTTAAAATACACTAAATCTAGATCGTCATGTATATCATGTAAGAGCCTGCAATGCTAGGGGCCAGAACAAATTCTCGTTGTTCCATCCCTGAAGCACCTGCTTTTACTCTGTCTAACACCAGAAATTTTGCTCTTCAATGGGAGAGTGGCAGGCAATGGTTAATCTAAAGCTTAAGAAATGTATTCATTGTTGTAAACGTGTCACAGCTTACAGTTAATATATAGCCACCACTGAAATGCTTTTAGGAATTCTATATTGGGACAAGGTGGTTGCTGTGTAATTAACAATAGCAAAACACTAGCTATCACTGGGAAGTTTTGCCAGTGACTGTTTGTATGGTTACAGGGAAATTTGCATTGCAAAATGGATTTTAGCCATGTAAATATTTTGCCAGTGAACTTTGGCAAGCGAGATGGAATGTAATGGGCATTACTAAACCACGAAACAGCGAAACGAAACAGCGAAACAACGAAACGAAACAGCGAAACGAAACAGCGAAACAACACGGTTTTATGTTATTTTTAGTAAAAGGAATAAACTACATTTATATCAAAGTAGAACGAAGTTAGACAAGATGAAATCCTTAAAGTCAGGGACGCCAGAACGATGTGAAGGCAGGGGCGGGCAGATTTTCGTGAAAGGGCACTTTTGAATTGGTATATACTAAGAGATTTTTGCAAAACATCGGGAATTGAACTTCGCCTAACCATGTTTTCTATTTATTGGATGATAGGGGTGTGAGGGAGTTCTCCGCCAGGCGATTGTGCCATTCTTGAAGCTCAATGACTGCATTTCTTGCGTTTTCTGAAGCAAATTCGTAAAAGAATTGCACTAACATTTCTGACAATTCGCTATTTCACCTTTGCCCCCCTTGCCCCTCCTGCTAAAGGGCAACGGGGGTGGCTGCCCCTCCTGCCCCCCAGTTCCGGCGTCCCTGCTTAAAGCTACTACGCCATCAGCACATAAAAGTCATAATTAATACTAATAGTGTCACGTATTAATCTTTGTTATCGAATATTGGGAAGGATAGAAACTCTTCTGCTTTTCGAATACTGTCAAAGTTTCCTCTGTTATAATTTCTTTGAAGTTTTCATGTTGTTATGACATTAAATTTTGGCTGTGAAACGAGCATATGTGTGTGGGGTGCTCGGTCAAAACGGCCGCAAGTCAAACGGCGGCCCCAAGTCAAAACGACTCCAAGTCAAAACGGCTATTGCATGCCTTGAAAATTATTATACAAATAAAATTATTATTACACGAGTTCAAACTATAATAAGTTTTATGACAAATTATAAAATTAATTCAAGGATTAGGTAATTTAGATTGTAAATATTGAACTATGGAGTTGTTTTATTCAAATGTTAATTCTCGACTTCGTCTCGGTGAAGGAATTTCCCCGATATAAATCACCTCGCCTTCGACAAATAAATTGTTAAATGTTCACCTTTGCATAGCTGTAATTTCTGGCAATGGATTTATTTTTGTTATATGGTGACATAATAGTTCGAACAATCCAAGCGGGGCCGCCATTTGTCTTGGGGCCGTTCTGACCGATCGCGCGCATGTGTGTGGATTGGATATGAGAAAATTAGTTTCCATCCTTCCCAATAATAAAAACTTCATATACGCCACTGCAAGTCTGCATCCACAACGGCAAGGTAAGATTGAGCATGGTTTAAATAAACACCTATGGCGACAAAAACAGTTGCTAGAATATTTTCACAGTAACACATTATGAAATTGTATCGGATTTTTAAGTATTTTAGTCTTTTGGCGCCTATTACAATATTAACTATTGGGCTTCCTATGCCTATGGATTTGTAAAGGATTCACTAATAGTAATAAAACATTCTTCAATTTGTCACAGTTTTGATGCTTATTTACTTTGCCCTACTGAGACTATTATGTGCTGATGCCGTGATGACGTTGGACGATTGTAACTTAAGGTGGCTCCCTACAGTTAGTTCAGTTTAAATACGATTTATATAGATCAGACTTCATTTTCGCGACCTGCGCGTGGAATCGTCGTGTTTACTGTTCGGCAAAAATATTGAAACAAGCCGCGGGAAGTTTTTTGGCGTTTTTATCTACAAAGAAAGCTCCAGTTTTTCATTATAATCCTAATTTTTTTGTGAATTCGAACAGTACGTATGTTATTAACTGGTTTATAGCCAATCTTTTAGTGTGTTTTTACGTATTTACGTTCAGTATTGTCTAAGGACAGCACACAGCTTCTGAACTTTCCTGGAAATTATCATATTGCCTTGTCTTAAGTGTATCTAATATAAATTCGGTTCAAAGCGAACGTTACTCAAAATACCTAGAATTTTAGAGAACTGTAGGGAGCCACCTTAATTAAGGATTTAATTTCATCTCGTCTAACTTCGTTCTAATTTAGTTTAACTTAAATGTAGTTTATTCATTTCACTAAAAATAATATAAAACGTGTTGTTTCGCTGTTTCGTTTCGCTGTTTCGTTGTTTCGCTGTTTCGTTTCGCTGTTTCGTGGTTTAGTAATGTCCGAATGTAATGTTAATTAACAAATCCAAGGCAAACAGGGCCGTACGCAAGATTGCCTAAATGCCGAAAAAAGTCCCAAATATCCAAAGAATAATTAATAATGACATTATAAAAATCGGTAAAACCCAGAATGAGAAAAGCCGGAAGCTGTTTAACCAGGAACATGAAAAGCCGGAATCTGTAAATCAAAACTAGCCTCCTCCGCAGGCATCTCACCCGACGAATCGGGTGGTGGGAAAAAGTTTGGTGAGATGCCTGCCATAAATCGACACAAAAATTTGCACTGCGCATACCGGTTCGCGCATGCAAATTTCGACAAACTCAAACTTAGGGGGAGTAGGAAGGGCTTACGGCAAGGAGTGAAGAAAATTTTGTTTTCAACACGATGGCTTACAAGACGAGTAAAACTGTAAAATTAACGACTAATTCTGCTCTTCAACATTGCAAATACAAAGGGAACTTTGACTAAGGAGCTGAGAACGTTATCGAAAGCCGACGCAGCGATTTACTTGGATTGTTTAGAGATAACGAGTGACTTTGCAAAGCAGTGAATTCACAATGTCGTCGGTTCATGTCAAGACAAGGTTTCAATTGAAAGTTTATCGTTGATATATGCAAATTTCTATTCAAATTGTTGACGACATTTTATATCATAATAAGCTGAAAGTGCAGTGATTTAGTCGAAATTGTAACACGAAAAGGAACGATCGAAAATTGTCAATATATATAAAATGTAAATTCAACTGTTGACATCTATGACTGTGCCTGCGTATTAAATATATAAACACCTCTTGCCTTGTTTTAATACGCTTGTATGGAAGGAAATCATTAATAAAAGTCTTAAACAAATAGCTTTCTTATTGTGGAATACACTGTGCAATTTATCCCTTGGACAAAGACAAAGTTTTCAAACTTGAGTGTCTCAGATGTGGTGAAAATTAGCAAAAGCTTTCTTAAATCAGTGGCCCTGTTTTATATATGGGTGTGAGTATAAATGTAGACATAAGGGAAAGGACAACTGGAATTTAATAAGAATCTAATAGTTTTCCATGTGGTGCAACATGTATGAAGACCTGCTTTAATAACATTTGCCTTGGATTTGTTAATTAACGAATGGAGGCATTACAAACATTCCATTTTGCTTGCCAAAGTTTACAGACAAAATATTTACATGGGTAAAATCCATTTTGCAAGGCAAATTTCCATATAACCATACAAGCAGTCACTGACGAAACTTCCCAGTGTTAGACGTGTTTTCAGGGATGGATCCAGCATGATCTGGTAGGGGGGTGCTCTGCCAGCTCTGGTGTCGAGTGACTCGAGTTGTGTCGTCATGTGTGCAGCCCGCCATTAATATACAGCAACAGCAGTATTTTGATAATTTGGCAAAACAACCTCCATGTGGTACAAGTGTACTGTGTACAATATCTCATTTTGTCTCTAATATTTTTTGCTTTATCATGAAAAATAGCACACACATACCCCAGGGCTAGGGAGGGGGGTGTGCACCCTCCCCCCAGTAAATCCATCCCTGCATGTTTTGCTATTAATTGTTACATTAACCACCCAAAAGTCTTTCAATGGTGGGTACATATTAATTGTAAGCTGTGAAGCTTTAGATTAGCCCATTGTTTGCACTCTCCCCTGGAATAGTAAAATTGTCTGATGTTAGACAGAGTAAAAGCAGGGGCGTGCCGGCAAGCGATGAGACAACAAGAACTTGTTGTGGGCCCCTAGCATTGTAGGCTCTTACATGATTCATGCCGATCTAGATTTATTATATTTAAAACAAATATATGTCAAGAGCAATTTTATTTAAACATGAACAAGGGAGATACATATAATTAGAGAATATGCAGATACATCATAAATTTCTTTATTTATCAAATCATGGATGTCATGTGGCCAGTACGTGTAACACAACTAGGCATACACTATATTAGAAAGAGGTTGTTACATGTGTTACAATGCAACTTAATGGGTTTAGCATATTCACATGATATTAATTAAGGGGGTGAGTTCCAATTAACTATTTAACCAAGTGAAGCCTGGTTCACATATACCTGCTGTTTGTTGATGGGCTATTGTCGTTAAAAGTTCAACTAAATAATTCACAAAAGAATGTATGCATCAACAGCTGTAAACAATGATAATGCAGGCATATGTAAACCAGGCTTATAAAGATGCCAACAAAATCTTGATTTTTGTAGGCTTTTGTTGTAATCAAATTTCTGTAGTTGATATTTCCAAGTTGTTATCTCTCCTCACTTACTGAAATGGTTGCTTCAACAGAAAGATCTTTTCCTTTTATATATCAATTCACTTAACATGTTGCCAAATGTCTGATGATTTGACTAAAATTAGTAAAATATAATCAAAATGTCAACCCCTTCATATAAATAAACATGCCAAAATAATATTCCAGAAAACAATACAATTTAATATAATTCCTTTATTAAACAAATTATACCTTTCGTATCGTTCCATTCTTCGTTTTGCGTTCGAAATTATGCCAGATAATTTCCTCAAATTGTAGTTCCTCGGCTGAACAATTGATACATTGTAAACATTTGGCTGCTTCGAGCGAGCGATTCAATTAAATTTGCACGTCGTTTTTAGACCGCGAGAGACATTGCGATATATAATCCTTTCAATTGACCAACTAATTTTCGTATAACTTGAATATTTCGATGCATTTTAAAACATTTTTAAAGTTAATACTCGCAAGCTTCGCTCCTCGCCTGAAGATTTCAAACTGAATATATAATTAGGATCAAAAGCCTACTTAGGGGGTGGGGTACATTGACACGGCCACAAGGTACATTGACACGTCCATTTTGTTCGATTTATGGCAGGCCTCTCTCCCAGAAATTTTTTTTTCAAAACCCATTCGCAGGCTAGAACCCATAGAGAGGCCTGCGGAGGAGGCTAAATCAAAACAAACGCTCTAGAATGTTGGTGATTGATAAATATTAAACGCTGTTATTGTGCAGTCAGTGACTTTTATTCGAAAACGAATAGCTAAAAATTTAGAGATGAATGCGAACCTGATTAGTGATTATATCTTAAAGAGTCACGCTAATATATTGCTGCATATAATTGGAAATATAGTAAAAATATGTACAATTCTGTCGAATTTCTAGACAACGCTATGCTTGGGTTTTGGGCAAATTTCTTTTGAATATAGAAACTGATCTATATCACCAGCGCTGTAATTCTGTAGTCTGACAAGATGTATATTTAACACGTTAAAATTTCAGGCTTTCTACGTCTGTGCTACTATAACAATTAATACAACTGGAAATCTGTGCAACATATTTGAATTTCTAAGCCGTACTTTGCCTGAGTTTTTCGAAAATTGTGTCTGACTTACTGAATATAAAACTTTGAAGCGGCGCAGTAATTCGATATTCAGTCAAGATGTAAACACGCCGAACTATAATAGCTCGATGCTATATAATTGCTATATATACTGTTTGAAAGAGGGCCGTAATCTGTACAAAAAAGTCGAATTTTCGAAAAGCATTATCCCTATATTTTGCGCAAAATGTTTTATAATTATAGAACTTTCAAATTGCGTCTTATTTACACTCAATATTTACACCACAATTTTTTCTGTCTTGTTCATATTGGATGCTAGATGCATAAAACACGACATATTCAAGCACAGCTATAGCTCTAAGAATATTCAAGTGAACAAGTTGATAAACTTATATACCAATGTTCTCTGCATTTGTTCGGTCGCGTGAAAATTAACTGTGTCCAGAAACAGAATGTTGATTAATTTCTGTTGATATATATTCGCGCTATACGTCGCACTAAATAAATATTACACGGCGTAAAGATAATTGTAGACTGCTTCTATTTTCAAGTAATTCTCACTTACCCAACGCGTCACTGATGATAATGATGAAACGCTATAGATTGTGGAGACCTTACAATTTACCAAATAATAATTTTCGGTGTTTACTGAATTAGACACTACAGGTAGTTGACTTTGACTGTGGTGATTCAATAATATGTTTTTAGAGATTTCCGAGTCACGCGTATTTCCGGTAAACGTATGATTTCCGGTTTCCATTGATGTGATGCCATGTCGCAATAATTGATATGTACATCTTTTTACATTTATTACAAAAATTTCGTGTAAAAGTGGAAATTCCAAGCTACAATGACAAGTTTAATTAAATTTCCTTCAGTACAAAGGTAAGTTGTTAAGGGTATTTTCACGAATGGGCCTCCAAGTTAGCTCATTACGCATTCAGAATATATCGCGAAGGAGAAATTGAACTACTAAAGCAAAAATTTGGCCCCAAAACAACAAATTTTAAAGGGAAAGGCCTAAGAAGCACTTCTTACAGAGGTCCAAAATGAGAAATTTAAGATTGAAAATGTTCACAAACACATCTTTATACAAAGGTATGAGTTAAATGTGTACAAATTTCAATCAAATTTTGGCCATACCTCTGTAAGAAGCGCTTCTTAGCGTTTTCAATTTAAAATTTGTTGTTTTGGGGCTAAAATTTTGCTTTATATTAGTAGTTCAATTTCTCATGCGTAATGTGGCTAACTTGTGGGCCCACAGATCGGAATTTTAATTAAATTTTCTATTGTTTTTTTTGTGTTGGTGTTATGTACTCAGGTGAATATCATGTTTGTGATGTTACTCTGAGTGTATATCCACACCGGGCTTGAAAAATATGCCTGACCACGGTGAAAATCGAACCTACTACCTTTTGGAATACTAGCCCAATGCTCTGGCACCTGAGTTACGCGGTCAGGTCGGTTGTGATATTTCGGAACTGAGTCTAGTTCCTTCGATATCAAGCAATCTAGTAATCATGATTTTTGTGTTGTTGTTATGTACTCACTAGGTGAATATGATGTTTGTGAGGTTACTCTGAGTGCATATCCACACCGAGAAAGCTTGAAAAATATGCCTGGCCACGGTGGAAATCGAACCTACGACTTTTGGAATACTTTCTGGCAACTGAGCTACGCGGTCAGGTCGGTTCGAGTATGTGATATTTCGGAAATGAGTCTAGTTCCTTCGATATCAAGCAATCTAGTAATCATGATTTTTGATATCGAAGATTGCTCGATATCGAAGGAATATAAATTGCTTGATATCGAAGGAATATAGATTGCTTGGCATCGAAGGAACAGTAGACTCAATTCCGAAATATCACATACTCGAACCGACCTGACCGCGTAGCTCAGTTGCCTGAGCATTGGGCTAGTATTTCAAAAGGTCGTAGGTTCGATTTCCACCGTGGCCACTGGCCAGGCATATTTTTCAAGCTTGCCCGTTGTGGATATACACTCAGATTAACATCACAAACATCTATTGTTTGACAAAAAAATGTAAACAAAACACGCGCATGAGCAGAACGGACTTGACACCCTCTTTAAAGGATAGAAAATTTATTGAGTTTTTAATTACTGTACAAAATTTCAGACAAGTTGCTTTAGTTTAAGTGCATCATTAACTCTTCAGTTTTTCCTTAAAAATCAGCCTTTCGCATGCTTAATTAATTCCGTTACCTAATTTGCATATTGCTGACATATGCAAATTAGGCAAAAGCATGTATTAAACATACAAAAGCCTGACTTTTTAGTAGGAAAAAATGTAAGCTAGCGTGAATAGTTAAAGTGCTTAAACTGAAGCAAATTGTATGAAAGTTCGTGCAGCAATTAAACACCCAACACATTTTTCACCCGTCAACTCAAAATATATTAAAGCTTTTAAATCTCGTGCGCAAGCTATTTATTATTATTATTTATTATTTAATCTTATTTAATCACGGTAGCCTTTCAGAAGTACATCTGTTTTTCAAAGGGCCGTGAGTTCATTAAAATATTTACATAATTGGAGAGAGAAAAAAAGAGAAAAAAAAAGGAAATCTAAAAGCGAGAAAAACAGGCCACTTACATAAACTATTTACATGGATGCAATTAATTACACTATAGATTAGGACCAATGGATTAGGACATACGTTTTATGACATTCTTAAAGGAGTTGACAGAGATATCTTCTATTAATGCTTGATCAATAATATGATTAGGTAGGTTATTCCAACTCATAGCTCCTCGATAGGGAAAGCTATTTTTTAGAAAATTTGGCTTAGGCAGGTAAATATTTCTATTGTTGCTACGTAATTGATAGTTGCCGTTTTCGTTCAAGTTAATTGTCTGCATTAGGTAGTCGGGCATTAGACCTTTAAGGGCCTTAAATATCATTACAAGGTCGCGCTCGTCTAATTTGTCTTTTATAGGTCTCCAGTTTAAGGTTTCAAAAATGTTAGTTGATCGTATGTCGTAACTGGATCCTGTTATTACACGAGCAGCCCTTTTCTGTAACTTATATAATTTATTAATGTGATCAGCGCGAAAGCCATGCCACACAGTTGAGCAGTAGGTAAAGTGAGGAACTACAAGTGAATTATATATTGTAATTAAAACATCTTGTGTAACAAAATCTCTAGCTCTTCTTAACATTCCGATACGTGCTGAGATTGTTTTACATTGTTTACTGTTATGTTCTTCCCATTTTAATTGTTCATCTATAATTATGCCTAAGGATTTTGTGCTTTCAACTCGTCTTATTTGCTCGCCTGCGATTGATATGTTTGTAGTATTTGTGCCAATAGAATTTATTTTTTGTCGTGAGCCAATAATCATGTATTCAGTTTTTTTACGGTTTAAAGTCAGCTTGTTTGCGGTTAACCATGTGTGAATTATTTCTAAATCGTGATTCAGTTTACTCTCTATATCTGCGGATGATAGTCCGTTACATGATAGGCTTGTATCATCCGCAAACATTGTGGCGCTTGTTGTTACAAGGCAATTTGGCAGATCATTTATATAAAGGAGAAATAGCAACGGGCCTAGATTTGTCCCTTGAGGAACTCCGCAGGTAATTGTTCTTATATCCGACATTTTTTTGTTAATTTTACATATTTGCTGCCTCTTCCTTAAATATGACTGAAACCATTTGTGTGCTGTACCCTTTATGCCATAAGCTGTCAATTTAGATAAAAGAATATTGTGGTCCACCGTATCGAATGCTTTTTTTAGGTCTAAGAATAGTACACCATTAATGAGACCTTGGTCCATGTTTATTAACCATTCATTTGTTAAGCCCAGTAGTGCAGTTTCAGTTGAATGGAGTGATCGAAACTCTGACTGGTTTGGTGATATGATACAGTTTTCGTCTAAATAATCAAGTATTTGTGTATAGACAATTTTCTCGAAAATCTTTGCAATTGTTAAAATTACTGAAATAGGTCGATAGTTTCCACAGTCTGATTTTTCACCTGATTTATAGATAGGGGTAACCTTGGCCACTTTCCAATCTTCTGGAAAAATTCCAGTACTTAACGATAGGTTGAATAGATGATTTAGGGATGGTATTATGCTGTTGCCAGCTTCCTTGACCAATTTTGTAGATACGTTATCAAGACCTGGTGACTTGTTAGTTTTGAGGTTCTTAACCACTTTTATTAGCTCATCATAGGTTATGGCATGAAATTCAAATGAAGTTGACACTGGAGTGACATAACTCAAAGGATCAGTATTTGTAATGGGGATGTTACTAGCTAGTGTAGGCCCAACTGAACAAAAATAGTCGTTAAATTCCTGGGCTATATTTACATCACCGGTTATGTCAATCCCATTGACCTCCACTTTATTGTGGATTTGGAGTGTTTATTTAAAAGTTTATTAATAGTTTGCCAACACTCTTTACTACTGTTTTTGCAATCTTTCAGCTTGGCATTAAAATATTCAGTTTTGCATTTCTTAATGAGTTTCGTAACTTGATTTCGGCATTTTTTATAAGCCTTATGGTAGTATTCAGAGTTTAATCTGACGGCTTTCTTTTTGAGATCATCTCTTTGATAGGAAAGAGATTTAATTTGATCTGTTAGCCATGGTGCATGAGCACTTTTAACTCTGCGGGTTTTAATAGGTGCATGAGTATTGGCAACGTCTAGAAAAATTGTTTTCCATTCATTCCATGCAGTGTTTGGTTCAGCAGTAAAGCTGTACGTTTTAAATGTTTCCTGTAAGTCATGCTGGAACGCTGCCGTGTTAAAATTTTTGAATTGCCTTGTCTCGACTATTTTTGGAGGCTGTTTAGGGATACTCACTTTACGGCAAATGTATACAAGGTTGTGATCACTAATCCCCAAGTCTATCACCCCGCTATCAATAGTTTTTGTATCTTCCACTTTAGTGATCATCAAATCTATTAATGTTTTGCTATTTAAGGTAGTTCTTGTTGGTATCTGTATATGTTGCTGTAATTGATATATGTCTAAAAGGTCTGTGAGTTTTTTAGTAGGTGCGTCTTTGTTTGTTGAAAGTAAATCACAGTTAAAGTCCCCGGTGATAACTAAGTCTTTGTTTTCATTCTCCATTAAATGCAGATTATTTTCAAATTTTTCAAAGAGTTCAATAGGGGAGTTTGGTGGTCGATACCATGTAGATATCAGAAAAGATTTACTTTTAGGTTTTTTAATCTCAACACAAATTGACTCTAAGTCTTGGACGAGTAAATCGTGTCGCTGGATATAAGGAATATTATTTCTGATGTAAATGGCAACTCCTCCGCCGTGCCTATTTCTATCACGGCGTATTATGTCATATCCACTAATCCTGACATCTCGGTCATTGAAACTTTCATCTAGCCTTGTTTCGTTAATTGTAATTACATCAAAAGATAGTTCATTGATAACTATAGTTAGTTCGTCTAAGTGTTTTGGCAAGCTAGCTATGTTAAGATGGCCTATTTTAAAGCCCTTTAGTTTCGGATACGAGTGTTGTTCATAAATAGATGATGAAATAGATTCATGATTTGAAACGTCTAGATTTGCTTCTATGTCTAAATTTACTTTTAATTGTCAATGTTTTATACAGTCAATTAAATTTCTAGCTAGGGTGGACGTACCTCTAGCATTTAAATGAAGCCCAGAAGCATTCAGGTGATTTTTACTAATGTTCATATGTTTAATAAACAACCAGTTATTTTTTAAACATAAGTTAGCCAACAAGTTATTTGTAGTACTAATTTTCGCATTAAGGTTATCGTCACTTCGAGTGATCAGACTTGATATAATAACTCGACACCTCTCTCCTCCGCAGAGGCAATTGGAATAGGCTTCCATGAATCTTACATGAAGTTTCGGAATCTTACATGAAGTTTCGTGCGCGCTTACATGAAGTTTCCTGGGGGGAGGGAGGCGCGTGGGGAGCGACGGGAAGGCGGAAGAAAGAAGAAAAGGCCTCTGCTGGATATTGTGCGGTTCTCAGGAGTTTTTAGCGGTTCTTGGGAGTGACCTACGAATGTTTAGTTTATGGCTGAAAACAGTAATATTTTGGAAGAATTACAATGTTCTTTACATGATATAAGCTTGGAAGGTTAGTGCAAGTTTTTTTATGATATTTGTATAGTGATACAAGCGATATAAATTAATAAGAAAATTGTGTGTTCTTCGTATATCTGTTTATACTTTTATATCATGTAAATAAGATGTATAACATTATAAAGAACTGATTGTATTAAATACTGTTCTTCCGTATTTTAATATTGGCATTGAAGATGATGATAGTGAAGACGATCTTGGATGTTATCCTATTCAATCGACGAGTACGCCCGAGAAGGATGATTTCAGACCTGGGAAGCATCAACTAACGCCGAATTCCAAGTTAGTTAATCAACCTCTGAGCAAAAGATTCCAACAGTGTGACCCTACATCTAGTGATGGTAAGTTTGCGAGTTATTTAATATAATATTTAATATTTTGTATATAAATATATCTCAGTCTTGTTGCTACTTACTAGTAGTCCAGGGGTGTATATTTTTCAATGATCTCTGATTCTTCCCCCCTTCTTTGATCTCCCCCCACCACTCCAAAAGTTTTCTCTTTTCTTCCTACCCTTCCCTTCTTTTTTACTCTTTTTTTTATTTCCTTCCCCTGGCCCTAAGACCCTTTGATTCATCCTTTGACTATTTGAAGAATATACACCCCTGTGGTATCCAGTCCAGCTTGCTCGGACCTCTCTGCCTATTGCCCTACATCCGAATAATAATCCTCATAATACTCTCATGTATAATAATCCTTCGTCCGTAATGTAAAATGAAACTTTAGGATAGTTAAGAAATACAATTAATCCATTTATAATGGACAAGATTGTCCCCTTAACAAGTAAAATTGCCTGGCATATTAGACGGGCTTATAAATGACATACCATATTAATTAACCATTGGGTTGCATTGTGCCCTAATGCACCCTAGCTACTTTATTATTTTACTCTGTCTAACACCAGACAATTTTACTTGTGAACTGTAACATGTCAATGTCTAACTGAACCGTCTGGGCTCTGCTCTACAGTAAATTTCCTTGTAATTGGAGTCTGGGATCAGTGTTTTCAGTGTCTTCATATGGTACTGTCACTATTTTATATGTATAATGGACATTTCTCATTTAGGACTGAATCTGATGTAAGTCATGTGGACAAGAAATTAATACAAGTTCTTTCGAATGTTCAAATAGCAAGAGTCAAGTGGTGCACTAGCTCTTGCCAGACTTAACTGCATGCCAGAACTAACAATTACTTTTCTCTATAATTTTGTGGGAATGTGTTATTTATATGTATGTACTACAAACAGCCAAAGAATAACCCATGAGCTCTAGTTTTAATTTTTTAATAATACTGTTAAGTATTACATGTAACTTGATTGTACAGTTAGGTTTTAATATTATTTACTGCTAATGGGTCATATTCCAGAAAACATCCATACCACCCCCACAGAGGAAATTACGTACATTTACTATTATCAGAAACAATTTTTTTCTCCCCTCCCCCTCCGGACGGCAGAAATTTCCTCCGTGAGGGGAGTGTGGATCTTTTCTGGAACGTCCCAATTGGATAATTATTCTTTAACCATGCAAGTTGGATTAAAATAAATAATATACAAAATCAAGCAAATTTTTGTCTTTAATTAATTTTGAAACAATTAATACATGTTTCTTGGAGGTTCACTAACAACAGTGGCATGAACTCATTGTGGGAGCATTCTGCAATAAGCATGAATAGATTATAGCCATAGGGGCTATCAATATGGAAGCCAGGCTGGCCTGGTTGGCAGAACTATTTATTATTTCCAGATTAATTTCCTTGCCGACACAATTCTATTGTTTTGACAATATTTCCATGACCAATGTTGTATTGACTTTACTTTGACCAGGTCAGTCCAGTTAGTGTTTATATCCATAAAATATCTTCCCGGTGTAACTGAGAGTTTGCCTTCTTCAGGTGAGATCTGAAAACTGAGCCAGTCAGGTTGTCCATACAATTTGAAAGGAATTTCCACTATAAAAATAACCACACAGTGAGTGAGACCTTGCTTACTGGCCTAGGGCTAACTGTCACATTAGCCCCTACCTCAGGAACACCAGAAATATGCCAGCAGTTGAGTCAATTAACCCAATATTTATAGGGATGGGGCAAACAAGTTAATGCATGGCCTTTTAAAGATACATGCAACAAACTATTTTCCAGAAAACATCCATACCACCCCCACGGAGGAAATTGGAAGTTAACCCCCTTCAGATGTCCGAATACATTTATTATCAGAAACAATTTTGTCTCCCCTCCGGATGGCAGAAATTTCCTCCGTGGGGGGAGTGTGGATCTTTTCTGGAATGACCCAATTGGTTTGTTCATATGATTTTAATTAATGAAAGCCTATCTGTCTTTGGGAATCTTATTTCCGAACAAATCTTGTCGTGTTAAGAGTACAAAAACAAAGATAAGCTTGGGATCTCTCCCAGTCTCCCGCTTTACTACCTTCTTTATAAAACCATTTTTTTTCCTGGGGGGGGGGGAGGAAAATACTCATGTCATAATTGTCCTTTCCTATTTTTTTTTAATTGTACAAATGAAGACCACAATCTGGAAAACATTGGGGGCACCACTTGTGCCACTGGTGTTTTATAGCTTTGCATACAACACTGAAGGCCCATGGCATAGTGGAATCGATGTGTGTTACACCAAATATATTGGCATACCAGAATTGTGATATACACATATATGCCTATGATATTGGTGTGGCAAAATACATCAATTACACCATGGCTGAAGGCAGTACATATTTTCCTTTTAACAGGCAGTCAAGTCTGTTCTGCACATGTGCTATGTTGGGTCTGTGATGTAAACAATACCCAAATTTAGCATTGTTGTCATTGTTTCAACATCTTCTAAATCAGAAACTCTATTCTATGTTCATTTAATTAAAGCATATCGAACCAGAACATATCATATTTTTTTATCTGCCAGTTTGTTTATATTTTGACTTGACCACCACTTTAAAGTTGCACAATCAATGGTAACATTCCTATTAAAACAGTAAACATTCATGTCTCATGCATAGAAAATGTCACTAAAATTTCGAGACGCATTGTCTGAAACGCTATTTACAGATTTAAATATCTACATATTTATAATGCAAGCAGAACTGTCAAGTGTTTCTGTTCTCTTGCATATATTTGGATTATTTGCACGCTTTAATAGTGGACACAGTGGAACTTCCAATTAGTTTTAAAATTCATTTATAAAAGTTGGGAGCGATTGCAGAATACCCGTCCACTTTTGAAGACCTCACCTGTTATCATGATACGATGATACGAAGTGAAAATGATTACGTAATAACTATATAACTGCGCTATTATAAAAGTCTGGGTAAGCTATATTTTTTGGCTGATACGATGATACGATGATACGAAGTGAAAATGATTACGTAATAACTATATAACTGCGCTATTATAAAAGTCTGGGTAAGCTATATTTTTGGCTGATACGATGATACGATGATACGAAGTGAAAATGATTACGTAATAACTATATATCTGCGCCATTATAAAAGTCTGGGTAAGCTATATTTTTGGATTTATAAATAATTAGATATGGCCCACGGGTAAGGTTTTCAAAGAACGAGACAAAGAGATATACATGTCTTTCAAAGAACGAGGCAAACACATATACTGTATACGTGCTATTTTACTTCGTATCATCGTATCACGCAATAATATAGGTTACCCAGGCTTTTATAATAGCGCGGTCATATAGTTATTACGTAATCATTCTCACTTCGTATCATCGTATCATGATAACAAGGGATACCTTCAAAAGTGGACGGGTATTCTGCAATTTAGCCGTGGGCGTTTTGAAAAGGTCTGTTTGCAATTGCAAAATAGTTGCTCATCAGTCGCCATTTTTATTCAATTTTTGTAGTGTGTCCCAGTCCATCACGGAATTTGGGCGCCATATTCCCCAATTGAAACTTCATGTAAGATTCATATGTAAGCCTATTCCATTCATGTAAGCCTTATGCACCTATCAATGTTAATCCCCAGGGAGGGGGGGTCGGGCAAGGGGTGGGGATTTGACATTTTTACAAAAAAAAATGTCAAATGCCACTCCCTCGGGAGAAAATTCCTGGGCAAAATTCCCCACCCCCGGGATGAAATTGTATTACTGAAGTATTTGGTTTCTGGTGCACTCTATATGTCAGGTGATAGGGAAATTACACAAATACATTTGGCGGTATAATTTAATTTAAAAGTATAACAATCATAAAGAACGTTTCAAAATAACTTAAAATACTCATTAATAATTTATATACCTTGCGCCACACCATGGTGTAGTGGACTGGAACACAGGCTAATAAAACACAGTATTCTTATATAATTATATTATCAGTATTCTAATATAATTGTTCGCCCTAATTAGTATTCTTTTGTACTCGTATTTTAAGTTGTGCGCCTCGCGTTTTATATCTGATAAAACACACTCCTACTCGTGTTTTAAATAGTACATAACGTGAACTTTTAATATACAAGTATAAATCGATATTAATATAATTATAAAATGGCTTTTAAGTGTTTATTTCTTGTCCAGAAATTTCCATATTTCTTGTAAAAACAACGCGCGAGACAGCGAGCGATAAACTAGTGCCCAGTCTTCAGCTTGTTCCTGACTCTTCCACAGTCCCTCGTTACCTTTTAGTGCGGGAGGATATGCCCGTTCGCGGGTTAGACGTTGGCAGCTACAACGCGGGCGACTGGGGACGAGTCAGAGTTTGTTCTAAAATTGGCTCAGGTTTCTTCAGTATATCGTCTGAGATCAGTGTTATCTGTCAAAAATCCCCACCCTCGGGCCACTTAGAAAAAAAGTGTCAGTCCAAATCCCGACCCATGGGACCACCTGATTGATCAAATCCCCACCCTTTGCCCGACCCCCGCCCCCTCGGGGTTAACATTGATAGGTGCATTATAACTACGTAAATAATGTGTTGATTGATTGCATCTGAATTTGGCTACTAAAATTTGATTTGATTTGATTTGACAATCATCAGTAAATGGTTATAGGGCAAAAAAAATATATGTGGGTTTAAGGTTTCTTCTTATAAAAACTTAGGTAGGGTAGGTCGGTTTTAACTTTTTTTTTAAACTTTTTTTTAATTTTCCGAACAAGCGGACGCCATTTTGTTTAGTCAGTGCTTCCACATCTAAAGATAAATTTCCCTAATATTGCCTCAAATTTTAATTTTCCACAAACTTTTTCCTCTAAGTGGAAACACTTACAGGCATGATCCAATAAAAAAGTTTAGGGTCGGGATTTCCACATATTTTTTTTTTGGCCTTTTGCGTCTTCTCGGATAACCATTAACGACGTTAAAATCGTAGGTACCTAGGATCCCCTATCTGTTGGGAAATCCGCTCACCAAAGAGTGCCAAAATCAATAAAAATAAAGTAAAACAATAAACTAGAATGATCAAATGCAGACAAATTATTTTCTTTGCCCAAGTTCGTCCGGAAGGATTGTCTTCTTTAGTGGAAATCGTGCCATAATTTCTATTTACAGGAGCAGAAGTAAGCGACCCGAGACAGCAGTTTCCCCAGAGTCCTCACAAAGCGAGATGTTTCCCAAAGCTCGAGGACTGGTGTCAAGACAACAGCGATATTGAAACAGATATGAATTTTAATTATTTATAAATAAGAATGATAATGTACAGTCGAATTACGTCAGAAATCTTAATTTATTGCTTTATTGAAAATAACGTTTTATCCATGTACAGATGTCAGGAATTTTAACCAAATAAATATTGAATTAGATTAGCCGAATTTGATGACATCTACCTCGAGGAATTTTTAATTATGAAATTAAACGCCTTCTAGTTTATGAAATGTCTGACATGGCTTTTCATGCAAATTGGTTTTTAAATTGATGTTCAATGAGGAAGTTCAAACACTTGAACTATTAATAACCACGAAAATGCGAAATGTTTATTATTGTTTTGTCAAGACAACGATATCGTTTTTCCGTTGTGATTTGCTCGTAATTATTATTGGAATTTGAGGCATAGCAAGACAGCCCGGTAAGCGGGATGAATTTCTCGTGTGTTGACATAGAACATTTCATCCTGCTTACCAGCACAACTTTGTTGGTTTGACATTATTTTGAAAGGTGGTGTTAATATTAAACCGGGCCAGCCTGCTTGTGAGTGGTTTATATGGAGGAATTTTACGTAAGCGAGATCTCGCCTCTTTCAAGCGAGATCTCGGCAAATGGGCGAGCTCCAGCCTAGACCTCGGCCTTCTAGTCTTATTTATATATTTTTTATATTCAGCGCTTTTTAACATGAAAAGACTGGGACTAGGTGATTTGGGGGCGGGGCGGAGGAAGCAAGGCTTGTGTCCTTCCTCCGCCCCGCCCCCAAATCACCTAGTCCCAGTCTTTTCGTGTAAAAAAGCGCTGAATATTAAAAATATATTTAAAATAAAAATAGAAGGCCTAGGTCTAGGCTGGGCGAGCCCGTTTGTCCATATAAACGCAAGGTAATTTCTACTACGAAAATAACTATATACACAGCGAGATCTTGCTTATACCGGACTGTCTCGCTGAGCGGACTCTCACTATTTCAAATACCAAATTGACTGACAGCATTTTAAGCATTTACTTTGATGTTTGTGATGTTACTCTGAGTGTGCATCCACACCGGGCAAGCTGAAAAGTTAGCTTGGCCACGGTGGGAATCGAACTCGCGACCTTTGGGATACTAGTCCAATGCTCTGCCAACTGAGCTACGTGGTCAAGTCGGTTCGAGGTGATGATATTTCGGAACTAAGTCTAGTTCCTTCGATATCAGTGTATTCTATGATTTGATAATTTACTTTGGTCACGGTAACCTTAACCCTAGGTTAACCTAAAATTCAAGGCAAACTTCCTGACAGCTTGTTTATAAGTTTGGAAATATTTCTTCAGAGATCTTGTCTGGATCAGTAGGAGTGTTCTTCTCTGAAGTTTTGAAATAAACAGCAGAAATACATATAAACTAAAACAGCAGGTTAAATTTTAACTGAGGGGTAGCTTCGAACAACCGACCCTTGGGAGTGGTTTTATATGGCTAATCCACCCTGCTTTTGACGTCACCAAAACCGAAACTATCCAAGATGGCGGGCAGCTCATTGCTTTCAGTCGAAATATTTCAAGAACAAAGCAAGATATGAGAAATAGTTACGGGAGTTTTATATATAGTTTCAAACGTTCTATCAAATGAAATAAGCTTGACTAAGCCATATCCCTTTATAAGAAGACATTTAAACAAAGCAAGATATGAAAAATAGTTATGGAAGTTTTATCCAAAACAAGATGCTGGTCGAGTTTCTTTAATTATGGTAACCTGTACTTTGAAGGGCGGATGAAATATGATGAGAGTTGGCAGACGTTGCTTTTCCAACACCATCATGTATTCTATTGAAGTTAAAACATAGACATCGTTGGAACACTTATCAAATTTTCCCCGTAACAATGCGTGACTACCACGTAACTCTCATCGCCGTCTCATCGGGGCTTGGGGGTTCCAAAGGCACTATCTCCAAAGAGAAATAAATGGCCGAGAAAAATTCAGGACAAAAATTAACTTTAGTGTAGTATTTATTGCCATGGCATCAAGACAGCTAGACGGCTTCCTTGACGTCAAATCCTGATAATCATGACTGGAGAAACATTTTTTATAGTGCAATTGCCAAGTCAGCATTCAAATACCTGGTCTTTTTAAGTACGTATGTGGGTGTTAATAATATATGTACTTCCATGTGGGAGTGAAAATTGAAGAACCGACACTCGAATGATACAGTATCTCATTGACAGAGACTTCAGGATACATTTCCGCCCTCGCCAACGTTGATCATGTATTTTATTTAAATTTAGAAAGTGTTCGCTTCGCAAAGAGCCTCTGGAACCATGCCAGGGTACCTATGAAAATGCGCAAACCAAATTCCAAAACAGAGCATAGTTTTGATCTGAGCATAGTTTTCTATTCAACTATGATCTGAGTCACGTATATAATGTGTTCCAAAGGGGGGAGGGGGGGGGGCAGTCCTCTCTTGTCTCCCCCACGATAGACTATTTTCAGAGTTACTGGAACGAAACATTCTACACGCAATAACGGTGACTTCATTCTTTTGGAAACAGACACGGGGACATTGCTCCCACGAAATAAAATGTTCAAACTGTTATAATTACAGATAATTAACACAAAGAATTATAAGAACGTAAATTAATTTATTGTCTGTCAAATAAAGGTATTACGTGATAACAGCGGTATGTCATTCAAGGCCAAATTATTTTGTATATCTATTCCCTTCCCGAATACTCGCCAACAATATAGCATTAGAAACGCTGATCACAGTAGGAATTTTGCATGGGTAAATTTCAAGTTCTGAAGGATTTGTAAGAAACGTTTGAGGAAACTGGCTCGCTGTTTAACACTAAGTCGGTCCCTCAAACATTTCTTACAAATCCTTGAAAACTTTGAATTTACCCATGGCATAATTCCTACTGTGATCACAGAAACTTTGATAGGTAAACCAACCTTTAGGGTTGGTAGTAAGTTGTATTTTTCAATAAAAAACTGTCTCAAACGTGTTCAACCATTGATAACTGAGTACCTGAGAAAGATATCTTCATTATTAATAATAAATAGAAACTGCTAAAATATATTAACCAATTCTTTTATGCATTTCCCAGACAGATTATGGTCATTATTGGTTAACCACTGAATTTCTAATAAACCTTTCGGAAGGGCTAATGAGAACCAACGAGCTGTGATTGGTTCATCAAACAACCTGTCCTCCCCCACCGATTTTTGAGGTCTGAAATCTGCATTACTTATTTATAAATACAATGTCTGATGACTTGATGGTGACTTGAAAATCATCTCTGCAATATATTTCCGTCCTGTCTAGATGCAGTTACAGACTGGACAGTTCGCGAATCTCTTGGCTAATCTAGAAAGGCTAAGTAATTAAACAGCAGTTGAATTCAACACGGAATACGGTTTTATAAAATGGTATGTATATATATGCTAAAATGTAGGCATTCATTCTGTACTTTTAATATTGTGTATAGTTTGCAAGCAGTTATTCTCTGCTAAATTGCTTGGCCGAAACGCCTTCAATTGTTTGCGGACCTTTACTTGATATTAAATACGGGCCCAAATATTGTTTCTGCCAATATTTGTCCAAGCGCCAACCGGAAAATAGAATTGATACCTCTGTCATATCAAGTTACATTCCCTTTGCCCGGTCTCGCGCCGTAGTTTATGTCGAATACTAGCAAGAATATCGAAGCAAAATGTGGTTAAACTCAGGTAAGTAAACTATTTTCTTGTTGTATTGTTTGCTTTACACGTTCGTGGATAGTCAAATAACCATATTTAACTAATTAAAGTGTTTTTAAAGTTGTAAATTATTGTCAAAGTTGGCTACTAGTGAATGGCTTCCAATCAACCTGTGTTTTTGTATATATTATTATAAAATACACGGTTTAAGTAACGCCTAGTGTCTACCTAAGACTTTTAAGCTGTATATCTATTGTACAAGGGCTGCCTTAGTTTGCTTTTGATTTAAAACACAACTGGATATTAAATATCATTTGTAATTTATCACTAAAGCTAATATCGTTTATATTCGCAACGTATCGGCGAAAATTTTGTAATAGGTAAATAAACTTTGAATTCTGACAGTTCAGGCGCGACTTTGATTTTGACAATTTTCACACTTTGAGCTATTTGCTAAATTGCTCGTGAAATAATCCGTTTTGACAAGCAAAATTGAGTTTTCGGATTTTATTGTCTGTGAATAAAATTATAAAACGTTTAGCGCATACGAGAGGGCTCTCGTATCGCTTCGCAAATGTAAACACGAACTTTAGCGAAAAATATTTTCAGAATTATGACATTATACCTCGCCTTAACGTACGAAAATGGCTTTTTATGTGTCAGAAATTGACCCTTTCGGCTTTTGTTAAAACCTACGTTTTTGTGAGTTCAATTTTGAGCAAATTTGAATAAAGTTTTATGTTATTATTGTAAATTTTTTGGACCCCTGCCGGTTGAATTATTAACCCGAAACCGTTCTCGCGGTTGTTTTGTGGTTAAATATTACTTGGGAAATTTCGTGCAGACTTTTATACGACTTCGTTCTATTTTTATTTAAATGTATAATTTGCTACATCGATACTGTGATTTGTGACTTTTATTTTATATTAGCTTGTTGAAAAAAAAAATGTAAATTTTGACATATTACATTGTGTAGAGTATTCTAAATATTTGAGTTATTTAAAAATTGCATTGGATAGCAGTGAATTTAATATTTTTTTTTAAATATTTGCTTGGAATATTTGCCAATATATACTAGTAAAAATGTATTTAAACTTTTTGCTGCTTTTGACTTATTTTTCGTAATTTTTGTTTCCATGACAATTTACTTTATGTAATTGGACTACATGTGGCTTTTGTGTCAAAATTAGTTTGTTCACAAAGTTTATATGTATGACTGGGCAGTTGCTGCAGCACAGTACAGTAATTTTGCTTGTTAATTAAAGTACAGTATAGACCCTTTGCACTGACGTCACAAATCCTTAGAGTGTCCTCCAGATGCTCCCTAACAATATCTGTTCGGGTACAACAACCACATATAGCGCAAAAACTAACCATTTTGATACAGAATTATTATAAAGTTTTACAAAATTTGCTTTGTTTACAAAAGTTATATTATGCATAGATTGCTAATTTGTCCTCCAGATGCATCATTGAGAGCCACAGGTTTTTCAGTTATATTGCTGTCATGTGTTTTTACCCTCTTTAAATTAAGTTATTCATTCATTCATCACCGGCGCTGTGACGTCATGTGCAATGGGTCTATATTTTAAAATATGGCTGTATAACAACCTCGACATGTTTACATATTTAAAGGTGATCTACAGTCCGATCTGCGCATGTGCACAAAGGAGCCCACTTTTTATGATACAAACAGTTTAACTATGTTTTGGGTTCTTGCAAAGCCTGATTGTTGTTTCTTGATCATTTATTATACTCTAGAAGCT